GGTAACATTAAAATGGAAATAAACAAAATACCTATACAGACTAAAGTATTATATTTTATTAATAAAACTAATGGAAAAATGATGTACTTTCCAAATATTTATTATGCTTTAACAATAAATGAAAACTGAATTTTAAAATGATTAGACATATTACTAGGTACTCGTATTTTAAGCCCATAATACACTCCATACCTATATTAACAATAGGTAATAATATACTTGTTTATTTTAATTCCTACAATTTTAAAATTATCAAATTTTATAAAAGTGTGACTCTTAAATTTGTAGCAAAAATATATGTGCTAGGTATACGTCAGATTGTCAGAATACGTCATTGTGTCATCGTATAAACATGAAACCAAAATTAAAAATGCAAATATACGTTTTAAATGAATAATAATAATTATGTTAATACGTATGAATTGCACATTTTATTCTATTATTATTACAAATAATGTATTGGTTTTGCAATAATTATGTTTTGGCTCATGTTTCATCTATTTCATTGTTTTATCCTTTGTTTTTTGGATTCAGTGTGGCGGACTTAACGATATCATATTATATCTGTGGTTAATTTGCTCCAATTTATCGACCGTATGTATATAACAATGTTTCAGTGGCTATCACTATATTCACTAGCATAGATGTAGCGCCCGATTTATTGTTTAGAAATACATTTTTCGACGAGAAAAATAATTTCCCAACACTATATAATATATTATGCAATATAATTTATAAATAACATTTTTAACAACCCATAAAATCATAATGTAAGACTTGCAAATAATTTTAGAATATTAATAATATATTTAAAATATTATTTTATTAAAATCAAAGTTATAACTTATTATTAATGGAACTTTTGTTCAATAAGGTGCCATAAAATTAAATTTGAAATTTGAAGCTCACCGTTTGTAAATGGCTCATTTTAGGTATTTATTTTTCAAAGTAGGTACCTATACATATAAACATAGTTCATGTTTTACTATTATAAGTGTTTTCAATTTAGTATTTACCATTATCTAAGAAAATATTATACTATAAACATAATTGATAACTCTTCTGCAGAACTTCATCATTTTTATTATTAAAACAGAAATACCAAATACTTTTGAAAATTGAATAGGTATAACGAGCTTAAAATTGTTTGCTGTAATAAGCTAGTTATTATCAATTTTAATTAAAATGGGTCCAATGGGTTTTAAATAACATTTAAGTTTGAATTAAATCAGAAAATAATATTGAATTTTCCGATCTTCTCCAGCTGTTAAGAGCCATAAGTGGATGCTTCACCCGCAAGTGTTGTCTACGTCTACAAGTGGGTAACATAGCAAACTATACTCTCAGCAGAACACGTGTAGCTCCGTTAGTTTAAAAATTAGAGTGAATTGACCTCTTCTAAAATCTAAAGGTAAGATTATAGGTAAGGAAGACAATCGCATGGGCTTTTTATTATATTTTAATTTTATAGCGAGTTATGAGTATTTTAAGATGTACAGTCCTCTTAAGGCGTACAAAAGCACAAATAAACTTTTATCTAGTAATCATAAAATTCGAGCTTTTAATCATCACCGATGTAAAGATATAACCTTTAATAGCTGTATAGCTTATACAAGCAAAAGTGAGTAAATTTATCTCAATGAGTAAGTATTGCTAATAGTACTTATGTTATAACATTTATCTTGGCAAATAGTATTAATATATTTACAATTTGATAAGTGACAACAGTTAAGTTATAGTATGTTATATTCTTATCGTTATAAGTGAATTTTATCCATGTAGGTATCTGGCAGGTGTTCTGCATTTGAACATTTCTGCACGTGGTTAAATGTGTGTTAAAATCGAATAAACACGGACACCCGGTCAAATTCACATTATGTTTTTATAATGATACAAAAACAGATATTAGGTACACATAATTTATCATTTTAAGAATGTTATTCATATTTGTTCATGGTAGGTTAAGATATTATGACACGGCTGTAAAGATTAATAGTTAAATAAATGAAGAAATTTTTTTGTATCACAGAAATTAGTTATATTTTATAATATAGAGGGAATCTACATATAGAGCACTACAGCAGTGAACAACAAGTTACAATTCTCAATAAATTACGAATATATGTACATAATATACAATATATTAATTGATTATATTAAACATAACTTTATAACTACATTGTAGTAGTGTTTAAGTATCAACATATAATTTTGTAAATGGCATTTTGTATAACTATCAACATTATTTTAAATAACATGTAAATATATATAAAGAAGTTAATACAATATTCAATAAGAATATTATTTTTTTTTTGATTCATAAATAATTATACTATAATAGACTATAGGTACAAGTATATTATATTAGTTCAAGTTCAAACTCAAAAATAGTTTGGCAGAGCCTTTACTCTATACTAATTGAATCGTTTTAGTATGCTACATTGTTTGTTATTCTTATAATTTCTCCGTTTAAATGAGCCATATAGTAATTATAGTTGACAGCGATTTTTTTTTAATATTTGAGTTCAAGTAAGTTTGAAAAACTTTTGGTTTTTAAATACTTTAAGTTATACCTCGACATTGAACGGTTATTTTTGTTGTTGATTCCATTCCAAAAGTCACCGTCCGATTTGCCAAATCTGCTATTAGGTAAATGAGATATCGACAGTGGTGTTGAATGAACCGAGTGCGTTCTTTAGAATTTGCAAAAAACTACCTACAGACCCAATTTATTAAGTAATTCAGTTATTATTGTATTGTACGCCTCTAACGATAATTTATAAATTAAGTACCTATACACGTCCGACAAACGATCGGCGGTCGAGAATATTAAATACACGTTATTATAATAATATGAGTCAAGGGATTTATTTAAGAAACGACCGGTCAGAATCCAAAGAGGTCTCGGAGAGTGAAAAATCTACCTACATAGACCATATATGGTGCGTGTGGATTTGTCCGGTAACCAAACGACGACTATTTTAGGATTAGTATACCAGCCACCAGGCGCAACCAGTTAATGTGACACATTATTATTGCATTTAATTTGATTTTTAACCTTCGTCAATTTATAACTATTAACTATATTATTCAATTCATATACATGTATTAATATTTTAAGATAATAATGTAATATAAAACATAATAATTTAAACCTAACAAAACAAAAAACTACCTGATTTTAGACGATTATTATTTAACTATTTTAATGACAAATATAGAAAACTAAGTGAGATATTATATTATTTAAATTTTTCAAATTAGGTACATTTTTACGGTAGGTATAAGTTTTTAACATATTTTACATCTGTTACGTTAGATTTAATTTGTACACAGACCCAGCTATCAGTATTAATATAGTATTATAATATTATACATACATCATAATTCATAATATGGCATTTATGATAATAATATGGAGCCGCAAGGTGTAAAACATTTTAATAGGTATACAACTTGTTGTTAGTTAACTATATAATATATCTCTAAAGTTAAAGATTAATCTAAATTATTTTCAAAACTATTTAAAATGCAGCACATATTTTAAATCTACAAGGTCGGTCGAGATAAACATTTCTACTTATCATTCAAAAATACTTGATTGAGAATGAATATATATATTATATATTACGATTAATATTAATCTACGTTGATATAATAGTATATTTGTTTTTTTTTTTTTGTTAATCTTATGTACATATCATAATAAAATATTTCAAGATAGCCAAAAGGGCAACCAAAGAACCAACTGATTTCTGGAATATAACAACCCACTTCGATATAAAACACCAAATAGACACTAACCTAAATCAAATATGCTTTCAAGAATGGAGAATGGGACAAACTAACAAACTAAAAGATATTAAATCATCCACCCTCAATTGGCCACACATTAAACACTCATGAACCAACTGAGCAAAAAGGAACAACGTATATTCACCTCATGCAACACCGCGACTGCTGTTAAACACATATTAACTGAATACCTCTTCACAAAAAACGCTTGAGGCAAACTGATGATCCCCTACAATCTTTGTGAAATACTAAACATACAAACATAGACATAACATCGTTACTTCTAGAACTTCTCAAAGAGACGAACCTTCTTCAAAAAATATAACATGAACACTTAGATACATCACATACAATTTATCCAAAGACTTATTGAATCATATTAATTATCGTATACACACCTTATTCTTTTGTAAAATTTAAATAAACTGTAAATAATGTATTTCTCAAACGCCAATAACCCTGGTAGTCGAGGCGTATTTTTTAAATAATAAAAAAAAATAATAATAAAATAACATTCAATTTACTAGGATAACTATATCTATAACTATAAATTATAATACACCATACAATTTTCAAAATACGTTGACTTGTTTTGAGCTGTTTACGGATATTTTAGTTTTTAAAATTTTAAAATGTTATATTATAATATTCCTCATAAGTTTGTCTTCCTTTATCAAAAAGAAAATGCCTACCGGAAAGTCAAATAAAATTTTTATGAGCGTTTGAAGTTCAAATTTTTACAACATATTGCATATACTCACTTAATTTCTCATGTAACGATTTTCTTATTTTGTTGTAATTTAAAAATATTATTCGTGGGTACTTGAAATTTCTCAAGTATAATATTATAATATACAAATATTAAAATAATGTAAATAATATTAATTCAACTTACCGGCTACTGTATTTATTATAACAATATAAATACAATATCCTAGGCTGACAAACTAGGTATAATGCACTATTTACTATAATGTATAGCCATAAAAGAGATAAAAAAAAATCTGGATAACATTATGTTTGTGTAAAGTACTAAACTTGATAGATATAATTAACTATAACATAAGTATAATATTTTAATTTATCCTATTATTTTGTGTACAACCTTCTTTATGACTAAAACTTTTATAATATAATTAATAAGTATTCCATTTATCCTATATAAATATAATTTGGTTCCCAAAACAATAAAACAATATTATATTTCAATCCAAATTCAAAGTCTTGAAAGAACCTTCAACGCCAAAATAGTCACTTTCCGTCTTTGGTTTACCCGGACGTTTTTGTTCGTCTACTCTGTAGTTTTCTTCTTCTAAGAACCATTTTCTCATTGCTTTGACTTTTTCAAATGTATCATCTAATTTCATACAAAAGACGATTTAGTATAGCTGTAACTATGTATCTATACAACTAATGATATTATTGTTCAAAACGTTTCGTAGGTATTTTTATGATATAAATAAATTATGGACCCACCGCTTAAATTTTGTAGAGTTTGTCCACTTCCTCCAATCTCAATTGGCATTATTTCTTTTGGTATATAATCAAATATCGTTTCGGAATCTGCAGCCGAGTGGTAGTACAACTGAAATAAAACATATTAATTATATTAATGCACTGTAAAATATATTTTTAGTACTATAACATTGAATAATGTAAACAATAAATTATAATATTAAAAAAAAAAAGTGAATACTTTCTCGGATAATTCTTTTTTCATAAAAGGTTTCGTCATGCTAGTTATCATGTCAATAAATGGAACTGTGTTTATTGTATGAATGGCTTGTAGACGAGCCGGTAATCCATCCTAAAATTAAAATTATTAATAAGTACCTAGGTAAGGAATTAAAATTCCAAAATAATTCTTCTAATATAGTCATACTTGCAAGAAATACACGTATTTTTTCATCATATTGATACCAAGGCGACCGACGTGACTAAGACTAAAACCTTTCATGTCATAAATAATTATAAGTCCGTTGAAAGTTCCCGAAGTCATTAGCAACATATCGATCACCATGCTGAGTGCTTTAATGAAATCAGATAAAACAAACAATTCTGCCTCTACTCGTTTTGCGTATATAAATATAACTTTGCAACCATCTGGAGTTGATCCCGGCAATGCACTAAACGATCTAAGGAGTAATGTACTTCTGAGTAAACAATCATTTTACACTATATTATAATAAATAATAGGTTTTTGTTTTACATAGTTTTAAATGCTTCCAACACAGATTTTACATCGGTATCTCGTTTTGTGAATAATTCGGGCGAATGAGTGCGAAGAGTGAAATACGACTCTATGGTCGCTTTAGTCGGTTCCAATCGATAAAAACAGCTGTGAAAAAATAGCACGAGGAGTTCATCTGAAAATATTTTAATTCTTTTATTGGTACGTCAACATCAAAACGTATCTATTAGTAATACGCAATAAATTATACAAAGCTGCAAAAATATTATTTAATACTTGTGCATAATATATTATCATATAGTGATTAGTGACATAGTATATACTACCTATATATAATAACTGTACACGTCTTTTAAATAAAAGTGGATCGGACACAGATTATAGAACTGTATCTAAAGTTTTAGCGCATCACACTTGTCTTGCATCGCTCGCCTAAGCAGGCCAAGTTTATTGTTGTGGTATGATTATTGTGAATTAAAAATCTACTGTTAATGCTCATAAAACAGTTTTTAGATTTTTCAAACTGAAAGTAGGAAATGAGTTTCACTCTTTTAACTTTTAAGTTTTAAGCAATTGTTTTTGATACCTATATAATGGCTATACTTATGTAATTTTTATAAAATCACATTTCATGTTTCAAACTAAATGAAGGATTGTATACCTACAGTTGTGTGTAATTTTTGCAACTCTAAAACACTTTTATAGTTTTATACAATAATATGGGATAACAATGTCACGGCGACACACTGAAATAGTGGCATACCAAAACATATATAAAATATAAATTAAAAGCACACGTTATTATATAAGATACACATATACCTATATAGATGTATACCACATGTAACTTAGAAATTAATTTAGGTAACTACCGAATATTTAGCTATTAAATTTATTGAACGTTTCATTTAAATACCATTCAAGATTTTTAAATTGTTTATGTTTTCAAAGTTTAACCATATGCCAGCCAGCGATAGAATATGAGGTAATTATTATTCATAATTATTGTAAAAATTAATGATGACAGATGAGTGATGACTTTTGAACATTTTTATCTATCATCAAACTTTTGTAACATAGGTTAAAAAAAATATTCGAAAGCAAGGCGAAAACAATTCCCACCTGGCCTCACGTTCGAAACAGGAAAAAAAGGTTAAAAACCTTTTAGATATATAATATTATAACATCATTAATCTTTTTGATATATAATTTCTGAGTCAAAGAAAAATATCAAATAAGTACCTATTATTAATGTTATATTATTATAAATCATATTTCGTAGCCTAAATTGAAAACATTTTTCATGTCACCTATATAAATACATAATATATTACAATGCAGGACAAAATATATTATAATGCATATCACAGATATTTCTATTATGCAATAAATAGGTACTTGCCAGTAACGGTTGGAAGGTGTGGTTGTTTGGATATCCATTCTCTGAGATGATTTAAATCTTCTTCATTGAGTTCTGGGTTTTTTTTAAATTCATCTGGAACGTTAAAAAAATTCATGTTGTACAGGATTATACCTACTACCAAAAGTTGTAAATAAGTACACAATGCTGCAACAGTACTAAATTATTTTTCAATTACCTTTTCGTTATATACTAAATATGGTGGACAGTAATTACAGACAACAATAAATATTATTTACAATTGAATACACGGGAAAAGCCTTGGATGTTCCGTTGTTTGTGACATATACTATTATTATAAATACAGGGGAATCATCACTAGTCGCACTTTTATAACAAAATAGGTATTTTAATATATAGGTAGGTACCACGATTAACCAAGCATGCTCATCCTTTTTTTCTTCAATAAAATTTATTTAAAAAAGGATTTTTGTAATTTTTAAATATACCATTTTTACACTTTATTTTCAATTACTTGATATTTTTTTTCTACTTGGGGGTTGTCATGTGGAGATACAATATCCTATTTATCAAATAAGAATTCACTTTTCTATTAGGTACACATTATTCAGTGGATAATTTTTTTGCAAATTTTCTGACGTATCAGAATTAAATTAAAACACACAATTGTTGAGTTATTCAGTTGACTTCGTGTCCCAAGGTCTAAGAATAATAGTGACATGACTTACACAAAAACGGGTGTGAAAGATACGATGGAGGCTATAGAAGCAATAGTAATTAAACATTTTTAGTAATATTAATTCATTAACATTCATAAAAATGATCCAAATTCCAAGTATAATAAATACTAGATCCAATATAACACCTATTTTATATTTTTGTAAAACCATTCATAAGCCTTGTTATAATAATTTATACTCTTAATATAAACATTTCGTTAGTTGAGAAACTATAAATTAGAATTACTCATTAGGTACATAAAGACATTAAAAAAAAAATACCCACCTAAAAATGTACAGTAAAAATGGACCAATCTCTAATTTGTTCTCATTTGAAAAACAGAAGTTTGTATAGCCACAGGACTCTCCTTAAGTAGTGCAAAGAAGTGTTTTTGAAACTTGATCTTTTAAAAATTACTGTGGTATCCTAAAAAACTCCAATTACTAAACAACGAAGTATGAAAGGATCTATACCTACTTTGAAATTATAATTTATATTAGGTATCAGGTATGTGTATACACTATACAATACAAATAACGATTCACAACTAGCCTAGTATACTCTATAAAGTATAGAGTATTAGAGTATATAGTGAAATCAGAACAACTTTTAAATGATAAATATTAAATACTTTATGGCACTATTGACGATTTTACTGTTAAATATATTATGTACATGGGCATAAGGCACAAAATAATAACTAATAAAAAAATTATAAACTTATGTGTTTCCCTTAAATTTTAAAATTTAAAAACTTCATAATATAATATATAATGTTTAAAATTGTTCATTCTAGATATTATATTATATTATATAAAAAAATGATTGATAACATTCTTACTATGCGTATCTATATGGATGTTGGATATTGATATCAATACAAACTACTAATTGGATAACTAAGTTCTGTTTATTGAGTCTCTAAGTTGATGATATGATCTAAGAGCTCTGCTTGATATAATAACTTGATTGGCTGATCCAATCGCCATATTATAATAAAAAATTATAAATATAGGTATTTAAAAATTCCAACAAAAAAAATATTACTAAATTAAATATAGGTACATACCTACATATTATTATTTTTCATTTTCATTAATTTTATATAGAATATTATATAGATATATAATATAACTAGTAAATTGTAATTATAATAATACTATGGGTACATTTTGTAATCGGATGAGCTCACGAAGAAAAATTTTATTTCTAATCAGTAATCATTTACATTAGTCCAACCCTGTATTTATTGATAATGTAACATTGGTATAATATAACATCTGCAATAGATAATAATATATACGTTATTTAATTTGTATAATAACAGACGCGACCTTGTATGTGTAGAAATTATGATTACTATCCACGACTAATTTTACACTGCACATCAGTAAATCTGTAATGAGTATGCAGGTAATACTGTATAGTAGGCCTAGTTCCTACTACAATAAATAGTTGAACAACATTACAGCCTACACGACATGCGAGCTTGGTATTATTTTCTACCCCTGTGATAGGAATAACTAGACTTGGTATTAATAATCAATACCTATATAAAATATCTTACTGAAGTAAAATATTATCATTCCATCACGGGAATGTTTTTATTTTTATTAATAAATAGTTTCTACAACAATCTACAAAAAAATATTAACTAAAAAATAATATGATATTTGGACAATCAGTATTAATGAATTCTTGTTATGAGATTATCGTCGAAAATAAGTCTGGAAGTCAGACGAAGTTTAGTTTTAATTAGAATTAACGTAAAAACCATAATAATATAGTTAGGTCATTTTACCAAGTTAATTGATAATTCTATAATAATTTATCAAAAATTAATTACATATCATACCACAAGACACAAGTTCTTCGTACTTTTTATCATATTTTTATGACTGTAGGTACCAAGTTTGTTCCAAGACCCAAGTTAACAAGTTCACTCGTATGATGGTAAATTTTACATTTCAAGTAGGTACTTGGACACGAATTCAAATTTATAAATGAATGCCAGTGTTTATTGGATTTAAGGGATGAAGTATAGGCAATATTTTAAACGTTTTTTGTTGTTGTTGTGTAAATGTGTGTGTATGGTGAGTGATAACAGGGCGCAGATTTGTATATTATAAACAAGTCAAACAATTATTTAATCCTACACTGCATATTTTGTACTAAAAAAAAAGAAATTTTTTAAGAGAATTTGATGCTGAATTTGGGAAAAATGACTAAAAAAAATTATTTTAATTGTAATTTACCCATTTTTACAGTTTAAGGGTTTGTAGCTAATTGGCAACAATGTAGCAATAGTGACATGAATTTTATTTCAAAAAAATTGTTGATATGAAAACTTTCATTATATTAACATGATGTACTTTATAAACTTATAGTTATTAGTTATTATAGCACAAAATAGTTTATAATAATCAATGCAATACAAAATAAAATAAAATTCATATCCAAGTACTATTTTTGTTACCTACACGCACACTGTATCCAAAACGCTACAAACAGAAAAATGCTAATTACACAAAAGTAATTATATTTATTGTAATAATTATGGTTTTAGTAAATAGTACTCACAATTATGATTTCAAAAATATTTTTTTTGAATCCAAGTTTGGTTTGAACAGTTTGATAAAATATGATAAACATATCGGTACTAGACAACTGATAAGATATTGGGTAGAGAAAATAAAACATAATATGATAAATATTATTGTTACCATGGTTGTTATGATAATATTGATATCACTATACGACTTGGTATGTTGACAAATGTCTACAATGCGCAAAAAAAATTTGAAATTAAGACTGTTATTTTCAAATAAAATCAGTATGTAACCAAATGTTTACATTATGCAGTTGGGCTTTGCTACTGCCATTAATTTTAGATTAAAAGATTTTAAGTTTTGATAAAATTAAAGTTAGTTTACGTTGTCCGATTTTGAATCTGAACAACAAGTTGAACTCTACAGAAAATTGTCTATAGATTGTATGAAAACTTAATAAAATATAAATCTTACCTATATTATTGTCAACTGTAATAAATATAGAAAACTTGAATCATAATTAAAATGAAAACGGAATGTATTCCGTACAATCTATAGACATTTTTTTGCTGAATAAAAATATTTTTTTCAGAATCAAAATCATACAATGTTAACTAATATTAATTTTGTCAAAACAATAAGTAAATTGTAACATTTGTATAATGCATTTTATATTGTTATCGAGTTTTAAACTTGTACATGTGCGTACTAAAGTAGTAAAGTGCTACCTGCCTTGAATTTCATTCATATTAATAAATAATAATTATTTACAACTAACACATAGGACCCAGATGATTAAGACGAGATTATAAATTGCCAAAAATGAATAAGTATTGCCCCTTAAAGAAAAATGTTTTTTTTTTTAACATTAGTATAATGTGAATATGTATAATTATAATATTTTCTATCGACTCTCCTGACGTACTATCGAAAATCCAATTTAAAGTAACTTCTCACAATGTTCGAAAACACGCTCCTTTTTACATTCCAACGCTGTCCATTTCCTTCAGTCATAATCACCCCATGCACAGGATGCTTGGGTTGGAGAATCAACTGTGATCTACAGGGCTCGTAACTTCATGCACTAAAAAATGCATAAATAAGCATGCATTCATGCACTATAAATTGTCAAAATATGCATTAAAATATGCACTTAAAAGTTCAAAAATATGCATTTATATGCATTAACATTTTTAAATTATGCACTCAAAATATGCATTATGTAAAAAAAAACATGACCAAATTTTAAAATAATAAGAATAAATCCATACATTTTAAAAGTATTTTATTCCTCCTAATTTTTATATATTTAACAGTCAAAATTAATAAAATAAAAAATAAAATTAATACTTGTGAAGTTCAAATAGCTTTGTCATAATCTTTATAAATTTTCATTAGGTAGTCAATTTTGTCTAATTTGTGTACACCCTTATTCAGCACCAGCAATGAACACATTTGGAATGAAATATTAGGTTTTTCATTTTGAGATAATTTAGTAATATAATATATTTTATAAGTGTTTTTTTTATGTTTTCCAACAAGAGGGCGCATAAGTAGACAAAATATGGCATAAAACCATGGTTTCGTAATTCAAGTAATACGGCTTATTGAAGTGGTTTACAGTAAAAATACCTATTATAAAAATTGTAAAGTAGAACTTTTTTTACAATCGTAAGAAGCTTGATTTTCGATATTTTTATTAATTAGCTAAATAATTATTCAATAAAAAATTTAAAAAACCGTTATAATTTACCATGCGATATTGGACGATTGGAACAAGATATCAAAAACCGGAAGAAACTTTTCAAATATTTGTCTAAAAAATATTTTTATGAAATAATATGCACTAATGACTGTAAAAAATCAACTATATGCCAAATATGACTTTACACCCAAAACATGCAAAAACATGCACTATCAAACTTCATATTATTATTACTATTGTTATGAAACGGATTTGTATCTCAGTTAGCATGTTTTCCTGCGTGGCAAAAAAAACATGCAGATGCATGAACTTACGAGCCCTGGTGATCTACATTCATATCGTTTTTCTCACATATTTTGTTTGTCTCATACAATTAGTTTGTACTGAAACCTGTACTGTACAGTATACCTTTCTATAAAAGTCGTCAAATTTAATACCATCCATTATATAATGACCCACTTGTAACCTATTGTACAAGAAGAGCGACATCCACTTACCCTCTTTTTTGTATACTAATTTTTCTAATTCAATATTATTAACATTTTAAAATTCATAATATTCAAAGCTCTTCAAGTTGAAAATGTCATCATTGGGTGGCTCTTTTCAAAAAAATTGCATATGCATGTTTTTCTATTCCTAGTCTATATTCTTATTGTGACAACTGATAAAGATTGTAAGTCACTTGTGAAAAAAAAAAATATAAAATAGGTATATAAAATATTTAAAAATCTAATTTTTATTTTTATTTTTAATAAGATACAGTCAAGGGCCCAAAACAATATTATGATATATAATAGATATTAACAATAAATTAAATGATAAGCAGTAACGATTATAATACAGTTATCTAACTATTGGTACTTTTGAGTTACTGACCTATGATGATGTAGGTACCTACCTATCAAAATAAATAATAGATGATATCAAATAAGAATAAAATAATATTATGTTTGAATTCAATATAAATTATGCATTTTTATTTTATTAACTAAGAGTTGAAATAAAAGTGAGTAACATTGCCATAATCAAATCAATTGAATGTTTTACTATTTAATACTGATCGTAGTGTCATTCAGTGTAAGTAAAGCGTAGTTTAGCATAGCTTAGCATACAATATATTATAAATTATTACAGATAGGTACTGTGTGGAAACTTACTGGATTTGAACTGATAATATACACAGTTAAGAATTTGAATAGTTTTAGGAAAAAAAAAAAACCAAAACGTCATTGGAAAAATTCGTCTCTGTGATCGACGACGACCGCAGCCGTGCGGAAAGTGACCAAAATACCTCGAATTCAGAACGACGCTGTTCGGTTAAACTTTGAATTACAACACCGAGGGCGGTTGACTATGACGTCCGTAAACACGCACAGATTGTGTTTGTACATTAATTTTCGGTTTTCTGCGAAACGTATTGGTCGTATTGGCTTAAGACAGAGGAGTACCGAAGGCCGCGGAGAAGTTATGAAATAATATTTTGTGTAGTGAACAGTAAGGCTTTTGCACACTCAGAGCGGTTGTTTTCGAATTCTCGGAATCGTCTCCTGTATGACAACAACGGTTTCGACCTTTTACCAAGTTTGGTCGTTGAGTTGGAGAAACGAAAACGATTGCACTCACCACCGGTCGCCAGTGTTTAGCCGGTGTGCGTTTACTAGTCGGTACGGCGAAGTCTTTATTTAAGATGTGCCTGAAAATTACGGAATAAATGAAATAAAGGCCAAGAACAGGCTACGACGGGAGTGGCAACTAAACAGAGATCCAGCGGTCAAATCCAGGCTGAACGCTAAAACGAAATTTATCAGATCTATTTTAAAAACTTATAAACAAGACGAGTGGGACAGGTTTCTTACCTCCCTTGACACTAGTGACGGATCACTATTCAAAATTAACAAAAGCTTACTCAACAAAAAACCAGCGATTCATCCTCTCCGAGGCCCAAACGGTCTAATTTACGACGCAAAAGCTAAAGCTGAACTCATAGCGGAATCCCTAGAAAGACAATTTAAGCCAAACCCCGGCCCAAACATCTTAGAAGTAGAAGAAACGGCTCACAACATCCGTACTTCACCTGTCGCTTCTTCCGACCTCTACACAACACCCGGTTCAGTTCAACTAATCATCAAACACTTGCCTAAAAAGAAAGCTCCCGGTGAAGATCTCATAACTAATACAGCTCTAAAGCTCCTCCCTAAGAATAAACTATTGACCCTTACAAACATCTTAAATGGATGTTTAAGACTCAATTATTTCCCTTCCACATGGAAAAAAGCAGTCATAATCTCGATCCACAAACCGGGTAAAGACCACTCTCTTCCTGAAAACTACCGCCCTATTGCCTTGCTGTCCTCCATTTCAAAAGTCTACGAAAGGGTAATCCTTGAAAACATCCAAAAAACCACTTCTAAAACAACTAGGAAAGAGCAGTTTGCATTTCGTCCAGGTCACTCGACGGTTCATCAATTGACCAATCTGATAGATGATATAACTGTCAATTGGAACTCTAAAATAAATACAGCCTCAGTTTTTATTGACGTGGAAAAAGCTTTTGATAAAGTTTGGCACGATGGCCTCCTCTTCAAAATGAACAAAATGCATATCCACCCTGCTTTAATCAAAATCATACACTCATTCCTTGAAAACCGAACATTTGCAGTCAAACAAGAAGACCAAACATCTACAAGCCGCCCAATCCTCTCTGGAGTACCCCAAGGCTCATGTCTTTCACCCACCCTATTCCTAATATATACAAATGATATACCATTAATTCCAAAGGCAAACCTAGCGTTATTTGCTGATGACACAATGTTTTCCGCCCAAAACCATAACGCCAGATGGGCAGCATTCATACTGCAAAAACAAGTAGATCTGGCCGCAGAATGGTTCAATCGATGGCGCCTAAAGATAAATGAACAAAAAACCGTCGCACTACTTTTCGGAAACAAAAACACCAAAAATATTCCTCCTATTAAAATTAACGATCACCCAATAAAATGGTCTGATAACGTGAAATACCTCGGTGTAACACTTAACAGACGCCTTGGTGTAACACAGCACATAAACTCCATCATAAAAAGAGCCACCATTGTCAGGGGCATATTATACCCCCTAATCAATAAGAAAAGCCCAATACCCTTAAAAACTAAAATCTTAATTCTCAAAATGTATGTCATCCCTATTCTAACATATGCTGGTGCAGCTTGGGCTCCCCTTGTTTCGACACATCAATGGAAACAAATTGAGGCTGTACAAACAATTGGCCTCCGCACCATCACGGGCAACCCCACGTTTGTCAGGAATGAAATTCTACGCGGCTCCGCAGGATTAAAAACCATCAGAGAAACCATTACCAGTCAGGCTTCTGCGATGTTTCACAAGAACTCCTACTCTAAGTACCCACATATAAGAAACCTCGGTCACAAACCTGGTGAAACACGTCGTAAAATCCCAAAAAATCGTCCGTTAAAATGGGCAACCACTAATTAATACCCATACATCACTCAAAAAAAAAAAAAAAAAAAAAAAAAAAAAAAAAAAATTTCAACCCACTGGTATAGGCTAAACGCCTGGCACAGTAAATATGCCCTAGGGCAGCCACACAAGCAAAGCAAAGCAAAGCATTACGGAATAAATTCTAGTCAAAATTCATATTTATATAACATTTTTTTTTATTTTTCTTATTATTTATTTATTATTATAGTAATTATTATACAGTATTATTTTCGATGTCGGAATCTGAGGACGACTCGTCGGCGTCCACCGTCGCCTCACCACAATGTTCGCTGCACTCCTCAGAAGCTTCTTCACCAGCGTCATCGCGAGCTTCATCACAAGCTTCCTCATCACCATCGTCACCGACCGTAGTATTGCCTAAATCGCCGATCAAAAAGGACTTGACCGTCAAGCGGCCTACCCTGGTTCATCCGTCAACTGCTGTCATGGTGACCACGGCCATTAAGTCGTTGAAGGACAAAAAGGGGTCCACTTTGCCCTCGATCAAGAAATATATGGCCGTCAACTATCAAGTGGATTCGGCGAAATTGGCCCCATACATCCGCAGATACCTGAAGTCAGCCGTCACCAAGGGCGAGTTGATTCAGACCAGCGGTACAGGTGCCAACGGCAACTTTAAACTGCCAGCCGTCGAGAAAAAGCCCGCCGCAAAGAAGAAAGCGGGTGTCCCCGTCAAGAAGAAAACTGAAGCGAAAAAACCGATCGCCAAGAAGACAACACCCACCGCGACATCCGGCAAGCGGAGATCTATCGAGGGGACGACGACGAAGTCCACCACCACTACTGTGTCGAAAGCTAAGAAACCCAAGAAAGTTTTAACGGAAGTTGTCAAACCCAAAGTCAAGAAGACGGTTGAGGTGGCCGCAAAGGCTTCTCCGGCCAAACCGAAAATTTCAAAATCCGTCGCCAAGAAAGCAGCTCCAACGAAAAAAGCTGCGCCCAAAAAAAAGTAAAATAGGTATAATAGTAATGTAAGAGTTTAAGCAATATAATTTAAAAAAGGTCCTTGTTAGGACCACCAAGTTTATTATTTCTATCTTACACCCCTAGCTAGATATTGATTTTTCTATTATCCTAGATAACTTATACATCAAAGCGCTATGTAACAAGGTATGATAATAATAAATAATATTGTGGTGTAATTTTTTAAGTCATAGATTTATAACTTTTTACTTATTTGTTTATTTCAAGTTTTAGTATACAGATTTTACAGGCATTTGCTCTGATGGTGCACTGTTTCCAGCTTGAATACTCTGCTTGTGGGAATGAGTAATTAGAAGGAATTCATTTTGAGTAGTGCTATTAGGCTTACGGAAGTTGAGTTCGATGGCTAGTAACAAGAAATCAATAGATTTTGATATCATTTCGAGCGATTACTGTTCTTTTGCTAATATCGGAGATGATATTGTGTGGCGAATGGAGTACTTGAATTTTGACGGAGTAAGTTAGTAGTTGAAAGATATTGTAATTAGTAACATACTATGAGTAAGTACTAACATTTACTTACTAGACTAATTAGTTATCTATTTTTCAAATAATTCCCAACCAGTCTAGCTATGTCCTAATTGTTTACGGGCGTCCGGCTATGCTGTGCGGCAAAACATAAATCCAGTAAAATAAGTACGGATGTCCTAATTCCTACTACAACTACAAAAAGGGCGTAACACGATTTGCTTTGCTTTGTTTGGAAGCCGAAGGTTATGTTTATAAAAAAACTGGCAGTTTGCATAAGCATAGTTTATTTTTAGTCATTTTAAGTTCAAATTTGGACGAAATTACATATTAAAAAACCTAGAATAACTATTTTAGTTATTTTGTTGTGATTGTATAATATTGTTCGTGAATACTTGAAACTTTTAAAGTATACTACTGTATATCTATGATAGTTATATATTGTTGTTGATGTATAACGCGTTAAAAGTACCTAATGGAAATTGTGATATGATTAATTTGGAGTTTATTATAGGTACAATTTTTTTTAATACTATAGATAAGTATATAATATGTCTTATACCTAGACTGACATACCATCTCCGCTCAGAATCGTTTTATTTATAGGTACAATGAATAATGATATAGTATCATTGAATTCCAAATTAATACAATTCATTATACAGAAACTCCCTTGTAACCTACCGAAAATGTAATAAAATAAAATGTAATAAAAATCGCCCAAATTAGAGCTAATTATTATTTTTAATTTTAGCCGAAAAATCTGCATGATTGTAATAATTAACATGCGAATCGTATTTTGCTAATGCCGTATTCATAGGTAACATAATTTTATTCTTAGAAATTCAAAATAATAATTAGTTAACTTGGGCAATTTTCATTACATTTTATATATTTTTTTTTTAAGTGTTTTAAAAAATACGATCAACAGAATGGCTATCTTTGAAATTTTAAAAACTTATTTGCCTTAAAAAATTGTTATAATTTTTGAATTTTTGAAAAAAAAAATCGAATATTATGCTATTCAATCAGAATTTCCATACTTATTACTTAAAAAAAACTGCATTTAAATATATTGACTTTCCATGGAGATACTAAGGGTGATACGGGACTTCTGGGACATACAGTACAGCAGAGTGACTTTTTAAATTCTGAAATAAGGTATTTTTAACAATTTATTTTATAATATATTCAATACATTTGGAGGTTCTTTGATAGGTGGAGTGCTTCGTCTTGGAGGATTTCGATGGACATTGAGTTCCGTAAGTTTAGATTTGAGACCAGGTAGTGGGCGCCGGTCATGGTACGTAGTGCTACGGACTGGAAGATCTCAATCTGTTTCCAAGATGATTGGCGAATTCTGTTTCTCCAAACAGGAACTGCGTATAAAATAATGGGCTTAAGGTATATTTTATATATTATCAGTTTGTTAGCCAGCGGAACAGTGCTGTTTCGGTTCTAGGATCGGATGTAGTGCAGCCCGGGCACCGCGCGCCTTTCGGATGGTATTTTGGATATGCTTGTCGAAGCTTAGGTCGTGGTTGAAGGTGACTCCAAGATATTTTGCGTGATTGCTCCATTCGAGATGTTGGTTTTCTAATTTTAACTTCATGGTGTGTTTTTGGGATCGAGGCCCAAATATCACTGCTACCGTTTTGGATACGTTTAATTGGATTCTCCATTTGGTGAGCCAGTCGTTTGTGATGTCCAATTATTGTCCTTGTAGCTTGTATACTGCATATTTGTAGTTATGGTTGCTCGTATAGAGAAGGGTATCGTCCGCAAAGAGAGCCAGTGTGACTGGTCCTATGGTCTGGAAATCGTTTATGTAGACTGAATATAAGAGCGGTGATAGACATGACCCCTGAGGGATTCATCGCTGGAAAATCAAAATAAACCCTACCAAAACTGTAGGTATTCTTTTCGGATGTTCCAATACTACTCACATCCCACCATTACTACTCGACAACCATCCAGTGACTTGGTCCAATCATGCCAAATACCTCGGCGTTACAGGGCGCAAACTCACCTTCGACAAACACGTTCAAGACATCACCAAAGAGGCCACTCGCGTTCGCGGAATTCTTTACCCCATTCTCAACCGTTCTAGCACCGTCCCAAAATCTTAAAAACTCATTATTTTAAAACTCTACGTCTCTCCAATTCTTTCTTATGCTGGCCCCTCTTGGGCACCCTTTATCGGTCCCTCACATTGGAAACGTATCGAATCTGTTCAAAACATCGGCATTCGCACGATAACGGGTATGCCCACTATCGTTAAAAACTCGGTCCTTCTAAAATCAGCAAATTTCAAGTCCATCAAAAATTCTATTCATAGCCAATCCAAATCGATGTTATACAAAAAACTCTTCTCTATTCATGCCACATCCGACTCTTAGGGAAATCTCACACCCCTCCAACCACAAAGCGTTGAATCAAACACTACCCTTTAACATAGGTTGACCAACAAATTTAAAACCACCTTCATAAACATCCATCCACTAGTAGAGGCAAAAGCCTGTTATAGTTTCACGGCTCATCCATCCCCCCAAAGCAAAGCAAAGCAGAGTCCTCTAACAAAGCAAAGCAAGCGATCGCACCAGGCTTCGGAATAGGGATGACTGTGGCATGTTTCCACGGCAGTGGGAAGTAGTTGAGTCGTTTGCACCAGTTGAATATTCGACATAAATATGTTATGGTTTTGCGTCCACAGTTTTTGAGCGCATAGTTGCTGATGCCATCAGGCCCAGGGGCGCGACGACTGGGGAGCGATTTGATTACGTTCCAGACTTCTGCAGGTGAGAAGAACGAAGTGGTGGTGGACGGAGTAGTGCGCTGACGTATCAGTTTATCGTAGACCAAAGAATCAATGATGACGTTTCCAGGAGGGGACCGAAATTGAGCCTCCAAAGAGTCGGCCAGCAGATCAGCTTTTGACTTGGGGTCAAAGATGGTGTTGCCCGATGCGTCCTTGGGAGGGCGAGAAGGTTGAGGTTTGCGTATGAGGGCCCGGTTTAGTCTATAGAAGCGTGTCCACGCGTTTGAGCTTTCGTTGAGGGATCCAAGGAGGTTGTTCCATTTGTTATTGCGGTGTTCGGCAAAACAATCAAATATGACACTATTCTTCATACATTGACTACTCAAATATGCTGTTTTCAGTCGGCATTTTTATGAAATATACATGTAGAGATACTACTATTTTAATTACTACGGCTCAGTTTACGATGTTATTTCTACCGTCATAATTATGGTATTTTCACAAATAGATAAGCGACTTATCGCTTGGGTTCGTTTAATTATATACCCAAAAACCGATCGCACCGATTTCAGGGTATTTTATCACAGAAATGCCCAATCAACATTCGCCCACATCCGCGACATTGGAACATCACCAGCTCCTCAAATACTCACACGCCGACCAAGACCAATCAACTTTGTGAAATTACAATAATATACTCCACATCCTGACAATCAGCCATTAAAAAATTCAAACATAAGTTATAGGCATCGGCCTGACACTTACAAACACAGCTGGGGTTTTTTTTTCCCCTGGCTCCCAATTCGAAGCAAAGCAAGCAAAGCACCGATTTCACTATCACAGGTGCCCACTTTCTCACCAGAAATAACTCAATCTTAAATCCACCCATCAACCCATTACGGCAGCGTTTGTCGAGTGGCTATACCAAAGAGGGTGTTTGGCGTTGAAATCACCTGCCGAAATTTTCCATTTAGCACTTTGGGTCAACAAGTCCAAGTCGTGAGACGTGAGTGTTGCACCTGGTGGTTTGTATACCTCTGATACAAGTACTTCATGGCCGTTTAGTTGGATGAGGACTTAAGAGGTTTGAATGAGTGTGTTAAGAGTTATAGGTTGGTGAATGATGCGTCGGTGGATTAGAACAGCCGTGCCGCCGTGAGCAGGCGAGCCGCGGACGGGCGGCAGATCATTCCTGTATGTGGAGAAATTTGGAATGTGAAGTTTGGTAGAAGGGGGTAGACGGGTTTCATTAAGTAGAATTATGTCGGTGTTGAGAAGGAGTGCGAGGGAACGTAGTTCGTTGAGTTTGTGTTTGATGCCGTTGGAGTTCCAAAAAAGTATTTTTAAATTACTCATTTTGGGGAGAAAGAATGGACAGGAAAGTTTTGATAGTTGTTTCTATAAGTGTTTTTGGATCTTGATTGTTTGATAGTGCAGTCAATAGGTTGGTGAGCAGGTTGAGTATTGTTGTCAAGTTAAGTTGTGAGGGTGGGGATGATGAAAGAGTGTGGGCTGCTTTGGATGTAGCTCGGAGTATGTCAGTGTAGTGTTTGTGTGGGGGGGGGGGTGGAGTGGTTGAGATTGGTTGAACGGTTTGTTGACTAACGGAGTTTTGGGTTGAGGATGGAGATACCTGTTGCTTTTGGACCAAGAATTGGAGGCAGCCACGGAAATTGGCGGTGTGCGAGCCACCACAGTTGCAGCATGTCGGGGATTGATCGGAAGTTTTGGGGCAGACGTTGGCAGTATGGTTTCCAGCGCATTTTACACATCGCGGCGGATGACCACAGTTACGTGAACCATGGCCAAAGCGTTGACACGAAAAGCACTGGGCGGGCCGGAGGGTTTGAGTGGTTCAACTGAAATTTGTAGATAAAACAAGTTGTCTAGAGAAAAAATGTCTCATCATCTTAAATCATCATCATCAATCAATCATTATCAGTCGTCGTTCCCGGTCGGTCGTATCCATCGTTAGTTCAACACTGCTGCTACACAAGTCGAACCTCACTCTGGCTCTCCACGCAGTCCCACTATCCTGAAGCATCAACTCGCACCAATCCAGTAAGTAGCCAAAAATCTTATACACCCCCCATCCACGACCACGAGGCTCAGTCACCGGTAGGTGACACTGCCGGGTCTCGCACCGCAGCGTAGGCTAGCCACAACTCGCCGATCATGGGAAACCGTAGTAAAAAACGGGGAGCCACTCCTCCACAAATCGTGCCTAAGAAAAACCGTCATCAATCCCCTCTGCCTCTACTAAAACCACCTTTGTCCACGGTCAAAGAAAATCGAAACACAACGTACTCACCACCTCCCGTAACGACTAATAATGTAACCTCCGCTCCAGTACCGTTCACTACTAGACAACGTGATGCTCCAGCCTCACCATCCGTCTCTGGTGAATCCTTGTCGGGCGACTCCTATACTTCGTCGGACACTGAAGAAAGCCTAGTCTCTTTGCTTGCTTTGCTTTGCTTTGGGAGGGGTGGCTATGCCGTTTACTATTCCAGGCTTGTGCCTCTACTAGTGGATGGATTTTGGGGTTGATTGGTAGGTTCAGTTATGTAAGTCAGTCCAATTTAATGGGTATGGTTTGAGTAAACGTTTGGTGGTTGGAGGGGAGTGGGTTTTACCTAAGAGGCGGATATGATCGTATTCGGAAAAAGAGTTATTGTAGAACATTGTTTTTGATTGAGAGCAAATGGAATTTTGGATAGATTTGAAGTTGGCTGATTTTAAAAGGACCGAGTTTCTAACGATAGTGGGCATACCGGTTATCGTGCGTATGCCGATGTTTTGGACGGATTCAATACGTCTCCAATGGGAGGGGCCGATAAAGGGTGCCCAGGAAGAGCCAGCATATGTAAGTATAGGGGTCACGTAGAGTTTAAGTATGTTAAGTTTTGTTTTCAGCGGAACGGGACTAGTACGGTTAAGTAAGGGGTAAAGCATACCACGGACGCGGGTAGCTTTTTTGGTTACGTCTTGAATGTGTTGGTTGAATGTAAGTTTACGTCCAATCGTGACGCCTAAGTATTTGGCCTGTTTTGACCAGTTAACGGGTTGGTTATCGATGGTTAGAGGTGGAATGTGGGTTGTATTAGAACGCCCGAAGAGGACGCCTACTGTTTTGGTCGGGTTTATTTTGATTCGCCACCTGTGGAACCAGTTGGACGCGAGGTTGAGTTGGTGTTGTAGTTGTATGGTTGCACGTTTGGGGTTTTTATTACTAGTAAAGAACATCGTGTCGTCAGCGAAGAGTGAGAGGTTGGCTTTAGGAGTCGTTGGAATGTCGTTAATGTACGTCAAGTATAGCGTCGGTGAGAGACAGGAGCCCTGAGGGACTCCTGCGAGTACGTGTCTGGTAGTAGAGAAGGAGTGTTCAATTTTAGTGGTAAAAGTACGGTCGGTGAGAAAGGATTGGATGATTTTTACGATTTCTAACGAGATGTTGAGTTTGGAGAGTTTGTAGAGTAGGCCTTCGTGCCAGACGCGGTCGAATGCTTTCTCCACGTCGAGGAAGACGGAAGCAGTGTTTAAGTCGTTGTTAAAGTTTTCGCTCAGTTGGTGGGTGAGTTTGGTCAGTTGTAGTGTGGTCGAGTGTTCGGGTCTGAAAGCGAACTGTTCGGGACGGATTTTGTTTTTGAGTTTGTCTTGTAGGTGGGTGAGGATGAGTCGTTCGTAAATTTTGGACAGGGAGGAGAGGAGGGCGATTGGTCTATAGTTTTCGGGTTGTTTATGGTCTTTGCCTGGTTTGGGAATGGAGATGATGACTGCTTTTTTCCAGGCAAGGGGAAAGTAGCAGATTCTGAAGGCGCTGTTGATGATCCGAGTAAGGGACAGTATAATGTTGTTCGGTAGGAATTTAAGAGCCGTGTTGGTGATGAGGTCGTCACCTGGGGCTTTCTTTTTGCGAAGGTTGCGAATTATGTCTTGTATCTGGCCGGGAGTGGTAAAGAGGTTAGATCGGGTGATGTCAAGGCCTTGTAGGTACTGGGAGTGAGCGGTTACGTCTGGTAAGTCGGGGCCGGGGTTTGTTTGAAATTGACGTTCGAGCGAGTCGGCTATCAGCTCTGCTCGTTCGTTGGCCGGAAAAACTAGGCCGTCGGGGCCGGTTAGTGGGTGAGATGCTGGACGTTTGTGTAAGAGACATTTGTTGAGTTTGTATATTGAACCGTCTTGGTGGTATAGTGAGTTAAGAAAGATGTCCCATTGGTCAGTATTGTGCGTTGCGAGTAAGGTACGTATGAGAGATATTTTGGCGTTTAGTTGTCGTTTAATTGTCGGGTCGCGGTTTATTTGCCATTCGCGGCGTATACGGTTTTTGTCTTGTATTTCCAGTTTAATGTAGTCTGGTACTACAGTGGACGGGTGTTAAGCCTAGTCTTGCTTTGCTTTGCTTTGAATTGGGAGCCAAGGAAAAACCCCAGCTGTGTTAGTAAGTGTCAGGCGATGCCTATAACTTATGTTTGAATTTTTTAATGGCTGGTTGTCAGGATGTGGAGTATATTATTGTAATTTCGCAAAGTTGATTGGTCTTGGTCGGCGTGTGAGTATTTGAGGAGCTGGTGATGTTCCAATGTCGCGGATGTGGGCGAATGTTGATTGGGAATTTCTGTGATAAAATACCCTAGCCGCTAGTTCTGCTTCGTTTCTCAGAGAGTTTATGGGTGGATTTAAGATCGCGTTATTTCTGGTGAAAAAGTGGGCACCTGTGATTGTACGGATCGCAACGTTTTGAACTGCCTCCATGTTTGCCCAGTTTGATGCACTGATGAGAGGACCCCATGCCGAAGAGGCATATAGTAAAATTGGTTTGATATATAATTTATAAATTGAGAGTCTGGTTGGCATTGGGATGGGTGATCTGCTGTTAAGTATCGGGTATTAAGCCTAGTCTCTACCAAATCAATTTCTGATATACCGAAAAAACCCAAGATTAGTATACCACCGATTTTCATCAAAAACTCCTCTGATTGGCGCAGAGTTGCACCAATTATTTTTAAAAATTCTGACCTCTCCCCGGAAACTGTTTGTGCACAAGCTACCTCAGATGGATCTATAATTGTGAAAACTCGTGAACCAACACACTACAGACAACTTCAAAAAATCCTACTCGAAATGAAAATACCTTTTCAAACTTCAAAACTACCTGAAGAACGAACCTTAAAAGTCGTACTAAGGGGCATACCCATTGATATCACTCCTGATGAATTAAAAAGTGAACTAGAACTATTAAACTTCGATATCAAACTTGTTAAACGTTTTGGCCCACCAAGCAAACCCATGCCAATCTGTCTAGTCATACTTGGTAGTGGCACAAATCCCAAAGAAATTTTCGAGTTAAGTGACCTATTTTTCATCAAAATCTCAGTCGAGACTTATAAACAATTGGGTCCCTCACAGTGTTTCGCGTGCCAACGAACTGGCCACGGTTCCTCCAACTGTACTCATCCCCCCAGGTGCGTTAAATGCTCAGGCGAACACCAGGCCAGTAAATGTCCGAAAACCTTAGACCAAGATCCTACTTGCTGTAACTGTGGTGGGAGTCATACCGCAAACTACCGCGGCTGCCCATACCTCACCCAAGCTACAATCGCTAAGTCCGCCCAAATATCAACTAAACGTCCAGTGCCAACCCTCCCAGCACCAGTCACGCAACCAAACAACACAGAACTCAAAATAATGGACTACGCCACAGCAACCAAACCCAAGGAAAGTATCAGCAACGAACAAATCATAACCCTGCTAACTGATCTCCTCACGGTCTTATCTACAACAAATGACCCCAGAGAAATGCTGTTATCCACAATAAAATCCTTCTTGACCCTCTTCGGTAAACCAAAATGAATACTAATCTTAAAATTTTACATTGGAACGCCAATGGCATTTCAAAACGAATAAATGAACTCAATGCACTAGCCTCTTCAATCAAACTTGATATTATTTTAATCAGCGAAACACACCTAAAACCAAACTTGACCCTCAAAATCCCAAACTATTTTACCTACAGAAACGACCTACTGTTAAGGCCGGGCTCTAAAGCCCATGGCGGCACAGCAATTTTGATTCATCGTAATATTATTCATCAATCAATCCAAACAAATACTAAACTCCAATCTACTTCCATTCTAATTAAAATCAACAACGAAAGCTTACTTGTTTCATCAGTCTACAAATCTCCCTCGGCTACTTTGGACCCTTCAGACTTGGACCTTCTCATAAACAGTGCAGACAATTTCATAATTGCTGGTGATTTAAACTCTAAACACCCGCTCTGGAACAGTCGTAAAACCAACTGCACAGGAAAGATCCTATACAATCACCTGCAGCAAAACAACTACTCAATTATTGCACCGGACACGCCAACCCATTTTCCAAACTCACACAAATACCGACCAGATGTACTTGACATTGCCATAGTCCGCACCTCTTTATTAATCCAAATCACCAATCTTAACGAACTTTCATCGGATCATAATCCAATTCTACTAGAGCTATCTGACTCACCAATTAAAACCTCCCCTCCATCACCAAACCTCTCCATCAATTGGAAAAAATTCTATCACATTCTTAGGGAAGAAAATGCCAGTGTCAATCCCTCTGCAAACACCAAGCAAAGCATTGACAGCACCATCCAAAAATTCACAAACTCAATACAATCTGCACTAGATAATAGCTCTTACGTCCGAAACTCAAATAAGCACCATACAGTCATTCCTACTGAAATTCAGCTAGAAATCTGCGCCAAAAACCGCTTACGCAGAGAATGGCAACGGACTCGTGACCCCCAGACAAAAAGGCTACTAAACTCAAAAATACTATGTATTAGGCTCATGCTCCAGACCCATAGACAAGACGAATGGGACAAATATCTGAACTCCTTAAATCAAAATGAAAAATCAATATACAAACTAAACAGAAGCTTATTAAGAAAGAAACCAGCCACCCACCCCATCTTAGGGCCCAGCGGATTAGTGTACTCAGCTCAAGAAAAAACAGAAATCTTTGCTGATTCTCTCGAACGACAGTTTACAACCATTCATGGACCAAATCTCCCGGAAGTAGTAGCCAGTATCTCAACACTCCATAATTCAGTCACAAATAGTTCATCCATCTTCACTACTCCGGGTACAATCCAGAAACAAATTGATATGCTCGTAAAGAACAAAGCACCTGGATGGGACCAGATAACAAACACAGCCCTAAAATTTTTGCCTAAAAACAAAATATTACAACTGACAAAAATCATCAATAGCTGTTTCAAACTTTGTTACTTCCCCAATATATGGAAACTATCTCATATAATATCAATCCCAAAACCCGGCAAAAATCTCCAACTACCGGAAAGCTATAGACCAATAGCTCTCCTCTCATCTTTGTCAAAAATCTACGAGCGTTCAATTCTCTCTCACCTACAAAGTTCACTGTCTGGTAAAATAAGAGAGGAACAATTTGCCTTCCGTCAAAACCACTCCACAACACTCCAATTAACCAAACTCATCGATCAACTCAGCGCCAACCTTAACCAGGGAATACAAACAGCCGCAGTTTTCCTCGACGTCGAAAAAGCTTTTGACTGCGTATGGCATGATGGGCTTCTTCACAAAATGATGAAAATGGACATCCCTTTGCAACTCATCAAAATAATTGAGTCCTTCTTATCAGATCGAACGTTTTCCGTCAAAATAGAGAGTCAAAACTCATCGTTAAGAATAGCAAGAGCAGGCGTACCACAAGGCTCGTGCCTCTCCCCCACGTTGTTCAACATCTATACAAACGACATGCCCACAGAGCCAAAAGCCCATGTATCACTGTTTGCAGATGACACTATGTTCTACAGCTCAAATCACAATGCGAAATATGCAACACTCCAACTCCAACGCCAAATAAACATAGCTTCAGAGTGGTTCAAAAAGTGGCGCCTCCGAATAAACGAGGCAAAAACCAGTGCAATCCTCTTCGGTCGTACACAAAAATTGAACATCAAAATCGAAGTAAACAACATCGAAATTCCTTGGTCAAATAACGTGAAATATCTCGGAGTTATAATTGATCACAAGCTCAACTTCTCGAATCATGCTGAAACGATTGTCAAAAAAGCAACCAAAATACGAGGATCCCTCTACCCAGTGCTTAACAAAAAATGCCCAATCCCAGCTAGGACGAGACTAAACCTTTTTAAAATATACGTTCAGCCAATACTAACCTATGCCGGTGCATCATGGACACCATTCCTCTGCAGATCCTCCTGGCAGAAAATTGAGGCTGTCCAAAATATAGGTATAAGAACCATCCTGGGTCAACCGACCATAGTGCGAAACTCGGTTCTCCTAAGCACAGCTGGTTTCGACACTATCAGGAACACCATCAGGAAAAATGCTGCTGCAATTTTTTATAGATGCTCAAATTCACAGTACAACCACCTCAGGAGCATAGGTCAGATCATTCCCCCACCACCTGACTTGAGATTCACACAACGCCCTAGAGCTAAACTATGGGCAAACAACTAAAATAATCCAACCAAATCAATCAGACATCCTGCGACTAGCAAAGGCTAATAGCCTGGTATAGTTTAATAGGCGAAAGCCGTTCGACCGAGAAAAAAAAAAAAAAAAAAAAAAATGTCTTTAGCCGTATGATTGGCGGCGATGTGTACGGCACATATGGGCATTGGTTTCTCCGGAGTTCCAAAGCGGCGGACGTGTTTAATGGTGTAACGCATAGACTCTAGCTCGACCTGGAGTTCGTCCGTTGATATGTCGTTTGGAATTCCCTTGAGAACAGCCTTAAGGGAGCGTTCCTCAGGGAGGGAAAAAGTGTGGAACTCTGTGCCATGTTGGGATAGTGCCTTCTGGACCATGCGGAACTGGGTCGCATCAGCGGTCCGCTAGGTTACCCGCTCGCCTGATAATTTAGCTGACAGGGAGCTTGGTTGCAAGTTTTTAAGAGAGTAAATAACGGGCGCGACCTTTCGCCAGGAAGTGGAGCTTAAAATGATAGGGGCGGTCTGGGAGGTAATGAAGGTTTAGATGGTGTCTGGACAGTAGGGGTGGTAACGGTTTTGGAAGAGAGTGAAGCCGAGATCTTTGATGTCACAGAGGACAGAGAGTGGTCTGTTGAAAGGCTAGAGTCGGAAAGAGTGTCTAGGGTTTCAGAGTCGGAAGTGCTAGAATTTGATGGTATTGGGGAAGGGGGAGCTGCAAGTTGCTTTGCAATTTTTGGAGGTGGTTTGGTAGAGGGGTCTCCAACCTTCCTACGTTTGTTTTTCTGGCCATTTCAGTGGGTGTAGTTGTTTGAGGAAGGGATGCTGTAGCTATGTGAAGGCGCGGCACCACGACAGCTGTTGACGGAGGGACGTCGCTTCCGCAGCGGCTTACTTGTGGGCGCTGGTGCCCTGTCGGAGAACGGTGAAAACGGCTGTTTGTGTTGACGTCGACGTCGCTTCCGCGACGGCTTGTTGTGGGCGCTTATGCCTTGTTGAGAGCGGTGAGAACAGCTGTTGGTGAAGACATCGCTTGTCTATTTGTGAAAATACCATAATTATGACGGTAGAAATAACATCGTAAACTATGCTTAAACTATTTAAAATAGTAGTATCTATATATGTATATTTCATAAAAATGCCGAATGAAAATAGCATATTTTAATAGTCAATGTATGTAGAATAGTGTCATATTTGATTGTTTTACTGTCCTTTCAAACCAATCACAGAATTGTTATCCAGATTTTCTCTATAAATATAAAAATTCCATTATTGCGGAACAACCATCACTTTTAGTATTCAATTCGAAGCACCAGGCACCAGTACACAACAATTATGAGTGGGCGTCTTAATACAGGAAAAGCGAAAGGAGTCAAGTCCAAGACCAGGTCGTCTCGTGCCGGACTCCAGTTTCCGGTCGGTCGTATCCATCGTTTGTTAAGAAAGGGAAACTACGCAGAACGCGTCGGAGCAGGAGCACCGGTATACCTGGCCGCCGTTATGGAATACTTGGCAGCCGAAGTTCTGGAGTTGGCCGGCAACGCCGCCCGTGACAATAAGAAGTCTCGTATCATTCCCAGACATTTGCAACTGGCCATCAGAAACGACGAGGAATTGAACAAGTTGTTGTCCGGAGTGACCATCGTCCAAGGAGGCGTGTTGCCCAACATCCAGACTGTTCTCTTGCCAAAGAATACCGAGAAGAAATAATAACTTCTTGACCGGACTACTACCTTAACTTCTTAAACTGGACTACCTTATTTATTACTAACCACACCGTATACAATATATTTAAAACGGCCCTTCTCAGGGCCACCAAATCTATATTCACTCTTTTAATCGAATGTTTCTTCACCCTTTGTAAACATGGAATTGCGCTCACACTGGTCTTAATAATTCTCACGCTACATTTTAGTTAAATTTATCTATAATATGAAATAGTCAAAATTGTATAATAATTTGACTTGCGGTTACGTCTTTGCAGGTCAAAGCATTTCAGGGTGTTCCAAATTTCATGTGACAGCAGATTTTAGTCTTTAGAATTAATTTTAAATTTTCAAATTTTAAATTTTCAAAATTTCATTTTATGATTTTCATTATTTAACAGGTTAAAAAAATGCCATTATATTATTAGCTTTACAATCCTGATAAAGTTTCCTTCTGTATTATTGATTTTGGTATCGAATAATATGGATAAAATGAAAATGTTTGATAAAATGAAAATTTTAGAATATTTTACTTAGGACAAAGCGAGGATTTTACCTAAACGCATAATTTTTGACGCTTCTAAGTCGATAGCCGATTTATAAGTATTGACAAATTATTATATTAGGCTTTATCGACTTTATGTTTCTGACTTGTAATGAACAAGGCTTAATTTGTCATCAGATTTTAATTTTTCAACCCATGCTCCAACACTTGTAACATCATTAGAATGATGTACTGCCTTATTATTGAGATTATATAAATCTTTTTTAGTTACCAAATGAGTTCTTTCTAAATGATTGTTGGCAATATTATCACGAATTTCGTATAAAATTCTATCAAAAGGAATGTTTTCTGATATTTTAGATGCTATATCATCTCTGGTACATGACATGTATATAAAGGTAATTGTAAGGTAATTGTATATAAAGGCAATTGTCCTATTTCATTTTCATGACCAATATGGTTGCCGTTGAATTTAACGTTACATCTTTTAGTAACCTTTGACTCAATACTAGCTGGACAGTACCCATTTATTTTGTTAGAACCCTGTGTTTTTAAATGACGTTGACCTGTACTTATTGAATTATAGAAACCACTTCTGTTGCATTTGTAATAACTGTAAATTTGATTTACTTTTTCAGAGGAACCGTAGTTTTTGACATACAATGCCTGTGTGGATAGTTCAATTTCATGTTTCCAATTGTTAAAACTTAAAATCATCAATGCTTTTAAATTCAAAACTATCTATATTTTGTAAAATATTGTGATCTTTTTCTTAATGTATATTTATATTTTTGTATGTGGCAGTAAATAAACACATGGCACATTGGACTACAATTTTAAATGTTGGAGCAATTGAATGAGCAACTTTTTTGTGTTCAATTATATTTTTTTGATGACGATATGACTTTGTACACTGGTCACATGTAAATATATACAAATTACTATTTTTCTATTTTTTTTGTTGATGCTATTTCATCCAGCTTTAAAAGAGGATGATTTGTTTTTATGTGAGCTCTTAAGTTTTTTAAAAATTTAAACTTTTTCTCACATTCTATGCATTTGAATTCATTTATGTCTGACATGTTCTCAAAAACCTAATTGAACAAAATAAAACATTGATGCATATTTATTGTATTAACACAAATAAAATTTATAATTTTATAATTTGTTAATATACATAGACATTTATTTTGTGAATTTTTATTTAATTAAATACTTATAACACCATGAAACAATTTTACAATACATATTCAAATAGCACATCAAAGACATTTATGATTTTACAAATGAGAATAATAATTAGATATTTATTTATTTATTTATAATATATAAGGGTTGCCTCAATTAAGTTATATTATTATTAATTAAAACACTCCATTTCTTTAATTGAAATTAACATTGAAAACAAAATAATAATAGAATTACAATGCATTTATAATACAAACACAATTAAATAATAATAATTGAGAATAGGCATGATGGAACTTTGCTGGCCAGCTCCATCGTCATTCATTGTGTACAATGTATTGTTTTTAAATAGTTGGACAAAATAGGAGTGGTGATATAGACAAATTACCACGTACGTTTGGCCAGCCCCCCCCCCCCAAAGGAAAAACTGTAAACAAACTATACAGATATTTAGCACGTAATTCGCACGAATTCGCACGCCTGGTTTGATAATTCGCACGACCTTCCTTCCCCCTCAAAAATCAAAATCCATGGGGGGGGCCAGCAACACGTCTTGCCAGCCCCCCCCCATAGTTTAAATCAACATTTTCGCAATTTTTTTTTTGCAGATATTTAGCACGTAATTCGCACGTATTCGCACGCCTAGTTTTGAAATTCGCACGACTCTCCTTCCCCCTCAAAAATCAAAATCCATGGGGGGGCCAGCAACACGTCTTGCCAGCCCCCCCCATAGTTTAAATCAACATTTTCGCAATTTTTTTTTTGCAGATATTTAGCACGTAATTCGCACGAATTCGCACGCCTGGTTTGAAAATTCGCACGACCTTCCTTCCCCTAGAAAAACAAAAATTCATGGGGGGGGCTGGCAAAACGTTTCTATAGCCCCCCCGGAGGTCCAAATTAACATTTTCGCAAATTTTCTTCTGCAGACATTTAGCACGTAATTCGCACGAATTCGCACGCCTGGTTTGAAAATTCGCACGACCTTCCTTCCCCTAGAAAAACAAAAATTCATGGGGGGGCTGGCAAAACGTTTCGCCAGCCCCCCCGGAGGTCCAAATTAACATTTTCGCAAATTTTCTTCTGCAGACATTTAGCACGTAATTCGCACGAATTCGCACGCCCGGTTTGAAAATTCGCACGACCTTCCTCCCCTCCAAAAACAATAAAATCATTTTTTTGTCAAGAGAGATTTCTTATTCAATCAAGATATTTTCCATTGTACTTAGAATATTTTCTTATTAAATACAGTTGTCTATTAAGTTTTCTATTTAATATGGATTGTATATTAAAAATAGATTTTTTTTATTAACTGCAGGTATTTTACTAAAGTTTTTTTTATACATTTTTTATTCAACTAAGCTTTTTTTTAGGTTATACGCAATATTGTAATTAAATATTTTTCCAAGCTCACCATTATAATCTTGATTGAATAAAAAAGCCTAGTTGAATAAAAAATCTATAAAAAAACCTGAGTAATTTACATTTAGTTAATAAAAAAAAATCAATTTTTAATAAATAATCTATTTTAAATAAAAATCTATATTTGATTAATGAATCTATATTAAACAAAAAAACCATGATAAAAAATTGTATTCAATAAAAATAATCAAAGTAGAATAGAAAAAAATTGTATTAAATAAAAAAAGCCTAGGTGATTAAAAAATCTATAAAAAAAAGCCTGAGTTAATCACCTATAGTGAATAAAAAATAATTTATTTTTAATAAACAATCTAAAATAAATAAAAAACATTTAGTATTCAACAAGATTTTTTTCCATTATAACCGTAATATTAAAGACTTCCGATCTAGAGAAAATCTATATTTTATAAAAAAAAAACAATATCAAATAAAAAACTTAATAGACAACCGTATTTAATAAAAAACTAATCTAAGTAGGACGTAGGTACAATGGAAAAAAATCTTGTTGAATACTAAATGTTTTTTATTTATTTTAGATTATTTTAGGTGATTAAAAAATCTATAAAAAAAAGCCTGAGTAAATCACCTTTAGTTAATAAAAAATAATTAATTTTTAATAAATAATCTAAAATAAATAAAAAACATTTAGTATTCAACAAGATTTTTTTCCATTGTACCTACGTCCTACTTAGATTAGTTTTTTATTAAATACGGTTGTCTATTAAGTTTTTTATTTGATATTGTTTTTTTTTATAAAATATAGATTTTCTCTAGATCGGAAGTCTTTAATATTACGGTTATAATGGAAAAAAATCTTGTTGAATACTAAATGTTTTTTATTTATTTTAGATTGTTTATTAAAAATTAATTATTTTTTATTCACTATAGGTGATTAACTCAGGCTTATTTTTATAGATTTTTTAATCACCTAGGCTTTTTTATTTAATACAATTTTTTTCTATTCTACTTAGATTATTTTTATTGAATACAATTTTTTATCATGGTTTTTTTGTTTAATATAGATTCATTAATCAAATATAGATTTTTATTTAAAATAGATTATTTATTAAAAATTGATTGTTTTTTTATTAACTATAAGCATTCTACGAAGGATTTTTTTTAGATTTTGTATACAATCAAATTTTTTATTAAAAATTAGATTATATTTTATTCAACATAGATTTTTTATTAAGGTTTCTTGTCAAGATAGACTTTTTATTAGATTAAGATTTTTTCTATTCTACATACGTTATTTTTTTTATTGAATACAGTTTTTATTTATTATAGATTGTTTATTAAAAATTGATTTTTTTTATTAACTAAATGTAATTTACTCAGGTTTTTTTATAGATTTTTTATTCAACTAGGCTTTTTTATTCAATCAAGATTATAATGGTAAGCTTGGAAAAATATTTAATTACAATATTGCGTATAACCTAAAAAAAAGCTTAGTTGAATAAAAAATGTATAAAAAAAACTTTAGTAAAATACCTGCAGTTAATAAAAAAAATCTATTTTTAATATACAATCCATATTAAATAAAAAACTTAATAGACAACTGTATTTTATAAGAAAATATTCTAAGTACAATGGAAAATATCTTGATTGAATAAAAAATCTCTCTTGACAAAAAATGATTTTATTGTTTTTGGAGGGGAGGAAGGTCGTGCGAATTTTCAAACCGGGCGTGCGAATTCGTGCGAATTACGTGCTAAATGTCTGCAGAAGAAAATTTGCGAAAATGTTAATTTGGACCTCCGGGGGGGCTGGCGAAACGTTTTGCCAGCCCCCCCATGAATTTTTGTTTTTCTAGGGGAAGGAAGGTCGTGCGAATTTTCAAACCAGGCGTGCGAATTCGTGCGAATTACGTGCTAAATATCTGCAAAAAAAAATTGCGAAAATGTTGATTTAAACTATGGGGGGGGCTGGCAAGACGTGTTGCTGGCCCCCCCCATGGATTTTTGTTTTTCTAGGGGAAGGAAGGTCGTGCGAATTTTCAAACCAGGCGTGCGAATTCGTGCGAATTACGTGCTAAATGTCTGCAGAAGAAAATTTGCGAAAATGTTAATTTGGATCTCCGGGGGGGCTGGCGAAACGTTTTGCCAGCCCCCCCCCCATGAATTTTTGTTTTTCTAGGGGAAGGAAGGTCGTGCGAATTTTCAAACCAGGCGTGCGAATTCGTGCGAATTACGTGCTAAATGTCTGCAGAAGAAAATTTGCGAAAATGTTAATTTGGATCTCCGGGGGGGCTGGCGAAACGTTTTGCCAGCCCCCCCCCATGAATTTTTGTTTTTCTAGGGGAAGGAAGGTCGTGCGAATTTTCAAACCAGGCGTGCGAATTCGTGCGAATTACGTGCTAAATGTCTGCAGAAGAAAATTTGCGAAAATGTTAATTTGGACCTCCGGGGGGGCTGGCGAAACGTTTTGCCAGCCCCCCCATGAATTTTTGTTTTTCTAGGGGAAGGAAGGTCGTGCGAATTTTCAAACCAGGCGTGCGAATTGGTGCGAATTACGTGCTAAATGTCTGCAGAAGAAAATTTGCGAAAATGTTAATTTGGACCTCCGGGGGGGCTGGCGAAACGTTTTGCCAGCCCCCCCCATGAATTTTTGTTTTTCTAGGGGAAGGAAGGTCGTGCGAATTTTCAAACCAGGCGTGCGAATTCGTGCGAATTACGTGCTAAATATCTGCAAAAAAAAAATTGCGAAAATGTTGATTTAAACTATGGGGGGGCTGGCAAGACGTGTTGCTGCCCCCCCCCATGGATTTTGATTTTTGAGGGGGAAGGAGAGTCGTGCGAATTTCAAAACTAGGCGTGCGAATACGTGCGAATTACGTGCTAAATATCTGCAAAAAAAAAATTGCGAAAATGTTGATTTAAACTATGGGGGGGGCTGGCAAGACGTGTTGCTGGCCCCCCCCCCCCATGGATTTTGATTTTTGAGGGGGAAGGAAGGTCGTGCGAATTATCAAACCAGGCGTGCGAATTCGTGCGAATTACGTGCTAAATATCTGTATAGTTTGTTTACAGTTTTTCCTTTGGGGGGGGGGCTGGCCAAACGTACGTCAAATTACCACCCTGAGGACCTTTATTAGGAACATGGAAGTAATGCGATTGCACATCAACCTGGGAGTGACATCCTTAGGCCTCCATAAGATAATTAAAGAAAACAATAAACAAAATAAACAAAATACAGTAAAACTCGCTTAAGACGCTCCCACTTAAGACGCTTTCCCGCATAAGACACTATTTTCCGTCGGTCCCTATATCATCTATATCCCTATTACATTCCCGTATAAGACGCTTTCCCGCTTAAAACGATCTAGAGAGCTGGTCCCTTAAAGAGCGTCTTAAGCGAGTTTTACTGTACTTCAATGTCACTATAGTATAATAGACTTGGAATTATTAGTATACATATATTAGACTGCATATTATCATCATTATTCGTGCCTCAGTGTTCGTTCTGTGCAGACGTCGGCTACAATATTGTAGTGTACCATTCTGAACAACGAAACACCATCATGGGCGGCCGCAGAGCCAGTTCCAAAAGAAATCAGACACCTCCGGTCTCAAACTCGAAGAAAACACGAAACGATTCTTACTCTCCACCTCCATTGCATGCTGCTCAACTCCAACGTGCAAAACCACCTTCTCCCGACGAACAAATGTCAGGCGAGTCTTATTTTTCTGATTCTACTTCTACCTTGTCTATTTTAAACCATCCTCCCAGCCCGTCTCCTACTCCCAACCACAAGAAGCAAAACAACTCAGGCGGATCACAGCAAGATGATGCAAATCCAATAGTCGCAAAGCCCGCAATTCGTATCATTATTACGTAATGTACAAAAAACGAAAAACGGAAATTTTTACACTAAATCGATTTTGGTTTTTGTTATTACTCTAAAACAAATGAACGTATATACATGAAAATTTCACTGGTTGTTTATATTTTCATTTTCTATACATGATAAAATTTTCCAAATATTTTGAGTTATATTTTGAGCTCTTTACGGACATTTTTAGTTTCCATTTTTTTTTTGTTATTTTTTCTATAAATATCAATAAAATGTTATTTGTTTAGTACAAAAGCTTAAAAAATTAATAAAAGGCTCCTAATATATTGCTTCAAAGACAGGTGAAAAATATTAAAAATCCTTAGTCGCAATTTTTTGTGATGAGCATTTAAAGTTCAAATTTTGACAAAATTTATCACATTTAAAATTTAATTATAATTTTGTAGTTAAAAATTTATAAGATGTTCAACTTTTACAGCTAATGATTGGAAATTTAAAACAAGATTCTACGTAAATAGGTTATATATAAATTACTTTATTCACCTTAGTATCATCAATTATATAATATACTTCGTAACTGCATCATAGGCCGACTAACTGTTTTCGCTCAGAATCGTTTTTCTTATACAATGCTATATCATTGAATTCAAATTTAATACCATCCATTATACAGTGACCCACTTGTAACCTACTATACAGCAGAGCCCCTTTTTGATATTAATATAGCTGACCTTGACTCCCGTTTAAACTTACCTTCCTATAAAACAACTGTGTCTTTCAAATTATGTGTGATATAAATTACTATAAGTTCTTAGTTCTTTTTTTTTTACTTCTAAATATTTTTAGAGGAAAAAATAATTTTGATTAAAATTTAAGAATTTAACTTATAATAATGATTGGATGTAAAACTTGGTTGTTCATAAACTACCTCATTATCTATCTCTGTTTGTTGTGATTTTAAGTCTTAACCATATTATTCAAATGTACTTAAAGAATATGATTTAATTTTTAATTGATATAAAGCAGAAATTAGTACTTAATATTTTATTTACTTTTTATTTCCACTATTGCAGAATCGTATTTGAGGACAGATAAATTTGTTAATGTGATATATTTATTATTTAAGTAGGTATTCACTTATTTTAAAATTTTGCTATTTGTTCCAATTAAACTTTCTGCTTAGTGTTTCCGGCTAAAGTGCACTTTACCACCCCATGCATATTTTTCGATTTTTTTTTTTTGGAACTTATGTAACTCATCGAGTTAAGAACGATGGTGCAATCAGAATTTGTCGCTCTCACTTACTTTCGAAGTTATGGCCCTTGGAAGTAAGCAATTTTGAGTTTTTTACGCATGAGCGCAACGCTACGTGTCACGTCTTTCGCGATTTTTTTTTTCTTATTCATGAGACTACTAAATAAAAAATAAACGAGTGAACAAACACCGGACTAAGAGAGGTCAACTTCACTAGAACGCAGCACTTGACGTAATGCCATTTTAATTGTGTATTAAAATATAGTTTCTTTAATAATATAATATAATCTAAAATCGTACCTATTTATAATTGAATGATTATTATAATTAATTATTATAACTTATAAGGTAGGTAGGTACCTACTATAGGTATAATGCGAGAATTTATTTAAACCAGATTGACTATTTCTACTTCCAGGAGAGGAATATTTTTAATTGTGAAAATGCAATTTTCATTTTGAAAAATGCAATTTTCTTAACCCTGTGACCCACTTGGGGAGGTGTTGCATAGCAAATCGGGCGATATTTTCGTTTTTAATTGTCCGAGCGAGCGCAGCGAGCGAGTGACCCCGCTCGGTGATTCGGTGCAACAAAAATGCAATTTTCTTAACCCTGTGACCCACTTGGGAAGGTGTTGCATAGCAAATCGGGGCATAAATTATTCGTTTTAAACAGGTTAGAATACGTAAGTACAAAAAAAGTAACAAAAAAAGTCCTCCGCGCGGCATTATAGAGTAGTGTTGCGCGCATGCTTATAGACTTAAAATTGAAAACTTTGGAAGGCCATAACTTCGAAACTAAGTGAGAGCGACAAATTCTGATTGCACCATCGTTCTTAACTCGATAAGCTACATAAGTTCCAAAAAAAAAAAATCGAAAAATTTGCATGGGGTGGTAAAGTGCACTTGTTCCGTGTTTCCAAAGTGTCAAGATTGGAAAATGAGAATTAATTTACATTCAAATGTTATCTCATCAATGAGAATAATAGGTACCTCTTCTGTTAGGTACTCAATCAATTTTATCTCTTTTTATTATAACTGGCATTAGTTTTTTTGGCATATACAGTCAAGCCCGGATTAAGGGGGGTCCAGGGGGGGCCATGGCCCCCGGGCCTCCATTTATTTAGGGGCCTCAGATTTGTCCATTATAGGCTATAACACCGCATAAATCACTTTAAAAAAATCGATGATTATTTAGCGAGGAAAAAGCTTGTAAATTATAATTTATAAATAAAATTATACTTAATTCTTGATTTATTGCTATGTACCTAATACCTATATATATTTATTATAACAGGTGCCTATATATTAATATACATTATTTTTTTTTCGTACAGGGGCCTCATTTAAACTTTGGCCCCTGGGCCTCAAAATATCTTAATCCGGGCTTTTATACAGTGATTATTTCACTCACTTCAACAATGATGTCTGTAAGATATTATGTATTTTATATTTTTATACTAACATTTTTTAATTTTTTAATACTTACTTATTATTGTTTGATTATTTAATTTTTTTATTTATTTTATTGTTTTAAAGAATTATATTTCAACATTATCTTCTTCATAATTTTCTTGATTTTTAAAACTTAAACCAAACTAAAATATTGTATTATCAAAAAAAAATGTACAATTGTTCAATATTTAGATATTATCTACTTGTGGTATACCTATTGGGATTTATTTTTACAATTTAAATAGTTGTTAATGATACATTTTTTTAATTTTTATATTCACTAATTTTAGCATTATTTATTACTCATGAATCATGATATTATTATTTTCCCCTTTAAACTCATTAATATTTACATTCCATAATCTCAAAACAAACCAGTTTGTTTTATCATAATCATATATGAATCAGTATTAAATTAGTATATTCTGTTTTGTTTATATCAAACATTTTCATGATTATTTAGATGGAAATTTTTTTTTAGTGTTTTTATAAATCAAACAAACTTACCAATTATCTGATTTGTTAGACTATTAAAAATTGAAGTGATTCTTTTAAAACTGTATGCATTTTGTTCTACACTTACACATTATTTTTTAATTAGTTTTCATTTATTTTTTGTCGACCAATGTTTCATTGCTTCTCGTTTATTGGTACTTTATGATCTATTCAATTTTATTTTGCAAGTAGGTACTTTTGTTTTAAATTTTTTTGACTGTTAACGTCATGTCCTAATTGAATCCTGGAAATGCTGTTAGTGCGATGCGTCTATCGCAATACGTGTCGTATAATGGTAGTCAGAAAAAAAAATAGGAAAAACAATGGGAAAATCAAGCCACGATAAAAAAGACAACTTAAATAAATATGTAAAAAAATAAAAAAATATTATACCATTAATTTTAACACCAAAAAAGTTACTGAAGTTAAAAATAAGTTGAATAGTTTTTAATAAAAATAAAGAAATACACATTGTAAAATCAATACATTGATAAAATGTAACTAAACCTAGGTTTTTCTTTGTAATATGCTTAGCCCTGATTTACATATTTACCGAGTTTGCTTTAAGCCACTTAAAATCTTAGGATTTATTAAACGCATGACAACAGAGTTTAAATTAGCATCTCTCCCCTTAGGCACTGTACTGTTCGCTCGAAAGGTCTATTCTCGAATACGGCCGTCATTGGGGATCCTAATACCGCTTGACCTAGTACGAAATAATTTTTTTTAAATATACCAGTTACGTACTCAGGATTCAATGTCCTCCACATAATTATTTACCAATCCTCAAGCATCTCAAACTTGAGTCACTAGCAGATTGTACTATGTTAGGCATGCTGCTAACTTTAAATTTCTTTCTAAATTAGGTATTTAATTGGCAGATTTACTCACCACCACACTCTCTCTAATTCCTTTAAATATCCCTTCACGATTCACTCGTCAATCTACTACTTTTAATTTGCCAACCTCCTCTAATAATTATGGTTTAAATGAAGAACTTCGGAGCTGTATGTTTACTGCCAATTCTGACCCCTCTTTTTCTATATCATAAACCTAACTTAGTTATTTTTAATTATTACTTACCTTTAAATCACAGTTTTGTAATTTTTACTGAACTTAATATTAATTGTAAATTGGGCACATGCCTGTATTGTATGCTTAAATAAATAAATTGTCATTTTTCTGTAATTTAATTTTCAGTTTTAATAATTTATTTAAAAAAAAATTATTAATTACACAAAGCAACCAGATTTGAAATTAAGTGATATCTGGTATGAGCCCTTAACTTAATTTTATGATTTTAGTTCAGATATTTTTAAATCATTTTGATCCTAAACATTTTGTAAAAGCAGCATTTTATTCTTAATTTTTACAACAATTTGGTTTTGAATGAATATTTAAAAAAAATGTATAATATTAATGTTACTTCATTATTTCCAGGAATTTAAAATTATATAACAATGATATAAATACTATGTATTCAATTCAAGTAACAGAATAAATATTGTTGATTAATGATTAATATTTAAAGTAAGATCTAAAAATATTTTTCATAAATCATACATACTTGTTTGACTTGTTTGACTTACTTATAAACTAATTGAATACATATTTTTCAAAGTAGATGACCTACTTGTCATATAATCAGAGCAACGATTTTTTTATTAAAATAGAAGCAAAATAATTATATTCAAATTACGAGCTCTAAAAAACATATTAAGTTCACAATAACTATAATAACAATATATAATAAATTATGCACACAGAGCAACAATTAACAATAAGTTAATAAAATATATTGTTATTATTTATTAGAAATTTTACTGTTCTTATTTATTTTAATATCTGTGAAAAGACGGACCTAGTTTGTAAGCGAAAGAAAAAAATATTCAAAAAGCTGAGTGTCTCTTGTGACTATAGTCAATAGTGTCAAAAAGGATGGGAAACATTGATAAAGGCAATAAACTAATAAGTAATGAATTATTTTAGCCAACAATATATGGTTAATTTTATGTTTGAATTTTTCTATTGTTAATTTAGATTTTAGAACAACAATTATTAGTGTACTGCTATTTATTACTGGTTCCACTTGAATGCTTGATTTAACTACATATGTAGTGGTTAAGCCAGGGCCTTGGAGGGGGTTTAAGTCTTGCAGATACAATATAAGGGAATTTTGGTGATTTAGAAGTTAATTTTTAAATTGCTGGAAAAATGTATAAAAAAAAAACAAGTAAAACGTGCAGTAATTTAAAAAGAAATTCTATTTTAAGTCTATAATTACAGGATAGAACCTTAATAAAATATAAGTTTTAAATTTTTAACGTAGCACACTTGATGGAGAAGGATAATATTTTACTTAAAACTACCACACATTTTATGTGATAATATGCAAATTTAGTTTTTTAAAAAAAAATTTTGAATAATTTTATTATTAAGGAAGTACATACAACATGAAATTTAAAGTTATTTCCATTTATAGATTTATAAGTCATCCTCAAAAAAAAAGTGTACCTATTTCCAAATGATATCTATAAGCTAAACCCATTTTAGACTGATAAAATATAAAATTAAATGTTGTTATTTTAATAGTATTTTTTTTTTCAATTGTTTAATTTAAGAAACAACACTTCATTGAAAAACAAAACAATACTTATACTCTGTTCAGAGTGAGAAACCTCCAGTTCTGCACATCCCCCGCATTATTTTCTATCGAAACCAGTTCCCCAATGGCAAGGTGTTGCGCAGGGGAACCAGTTTTGGTTTGTGTGTGGCAGGTTTTCTTGCTGAACATAGTATAGTTAAATCATTTTTATAACTTTTCTCAAAATCAATGTATATTTTTTATTTTATATAAATTACTAGTGGTATAACCTACGTTTGATCATAAAGCATAACACAAGCGACGAGCGACATTGTTTGTAACCATAACACATCTCCTAAATTATTTTAATAGTTCAGACGTGGTGTTATCAATGTACACATTTTTTTAATGTGTATCATTAAAGTAAAACTAGTTTTAAATTAACTCAGATTTTATTGGAAAATCGAAAAAAAATTAGAAATAATTGTAATAACATATCTTTGTTTACAGAATGGATTATACCACACATAAAATACCTAAGGCTAAATGGCTGTCAAACTGCAACACCATAAATTATACATTATTCACTTGAGATGATCAAACAGGTCTTTCGCAACACATTTATCAACGACTTCTAGAAAATCCCAGAATTCTTCAACGCAGGTTTCAGCCGTTGCTTTTCTAGAGTTTACTCGAGTGTTACATTCTTGCAGCTTGGCAAACCGTTCTTGAGCTTCTTTCTGTTGTTCGCACTTAGCCTAAAAATTCCCATAACATTGATATCACTGTCATTGTAGCATAGTATCAGCAAACTTACCCTCAAAACCTTGGCTGGGTCAACTAGTTCCGCTTCTTCTTCTTCGGCTCTGACCACGAAGAAAGGAGACTGCACGAACTTGGAGAGCGTTTCCCTTAAGCCGGTGAACAACATCCTGTAACAAATTAAGTGTCCATCATCAACGATAGTGGTTCCTCGCGTTGACCTTTGGCTACGACGTCCCTCCAGAGCGGAAAGGCCTCAATCACGTGTGTCATCAAACAAAAAATCGGTAAAAAAATGATACTCACTTATGTCCGCTGATTCCTGCGTGAAAAGGAAGATATTAAAAGAAGTAAGTAGGTATATTATTATTCGCGTAGGAACGAGGTCGGAAAATGCTCTGCGGAGTCGAACTTTCGGCTTTGAAAAGAAATCTCTGCAATCAGTTTTTTAAACAGCTGTGGCCGCCCGTATTATCATAAAATCATGTATTATCGGGCCCGCCAAACTCGTGGAGGAATAAATATCGATATCGTTGGCTCACGAGTCACGAGTCACGAGTCACGAGTCACGACTGCCCGAGCCACGGACTAATATTATTCTGTACAAATGCCAAGTATAATATTTAAATATTATAATATTATAGTTTAGCATGACTAATTAAAATTTATATGTACTCTAGATAGATATACTTAGTCCGTTGCCCGAACCCATAGAAGCACTGTGAAGCAGCCAGCAGGCACGATTTAGATTTTAGAGAAGATCTTCTCAACATAGTTCATACTACATCGTGGAAGCAGGATTAAAGAAGATTTAATATAAAGGGTTACCCGACGAGCCTGCAATAGCAATAGCAGTTTTGGCCCCCGATTAAAGATGGACTATCTTTAATAGCTGTGCCCTGTGGTTGTTCGTGTGGTGCTATCATAGACCTTTTATTATTGACAGTGGTGTTACTAGGGAAATTTTTCTTAGGGGGGAGCTACAATGGTATCAACTCCGATCATTTATATTATTTTAAACCACGATCGTAGAAGTTCTTCTAAGACCCGTGTTGTAAACTAAAGACTAAAAAATGATAACTGATGGGGCCATGGATAAAATTGGGGGCTTAGCCCCCCCCCCTCATTGCGGCTATAGCTATGGAATTGTTGTCTCAACTAATCTGTAATTTAAAATGTTAAATTGTGATAATTAGTAATTACTCATGATAAACATTTCTGTAGTCGTAGACCACGGACTAAGATAGACCATAGACACCACACACCTTAGATAATACTAATGTACGAACCACGTCCACGATTAAAGATATCTCTAATCTTAATATCTTTAACACGGGCTAAGATACCATAGTCGGTGATCTTTAATCTTTTATCGTGGTACCTACTTTAGATCCTTAGATCACATACTATATGATCTAACTATGGATCATGGATATCGATATCCATGGTATGGATAGAGCCATAGCTTAAATATACATGTGAATACATAAACATATGTATATTTAGACCATGGATAGAGCTGCCGCTATGGAATTATAATTTATAAACCCGATCAATCAGCCTGCTGTGTTCATGGGAGCAAATTCGCTTTGGAGTTATGACGTCATAGTCCTACGGTGTATGACCAGAACCGTGTCAAACAACTCAGCGCCCCGGGGCAATTCGAGCCCCTTCCCTACAATTTGGGCCCCAGGTAGCATATTAAGCGCAAATAAAGTCGCCCCTTACTTTTACAAAACTACGGCTCCCGGGGGCAAATGCCCCAGTTACCCCCCTCCCATAATACAAGCTCTGTATATGACTGAAAATTATGATAAATCCGCCGAGATGATAAGTGATAACCAAGGTGGATAACATTGGTGATAACATTGTGGACACGGTACAAATAATAATAAATAATAATACAGACGCCGAAACACAGAATGTATTAAATTTAATCTATTCCGTCTCTGTGGCTGAAACGCAGTCATCAAATCTATCGACTGGACCATTTAAATAATATATTATCTTATTCCCTGATATTGACATATTGTTAACATAATATTATTTTGTCTTCATCCGAGTTTTCGATTCCCATTTCCTACTAATTGTCGACGTTCTTAGCTGCGCGATGTAACACTTCGTCTTCGGTTAGAATTCTCGACAAAACAATGGAGTCCAGCTCGTCGGGTTACCAAAACTTAAACGAATCTGACCGCAGGATCAGCAATGTCTTCACCGCTAAGAAACAAGCACAAGACTTTGAAATGAGCAACGTGACCGTCGTGCCCGATGGTAAGTGCAGTGTTCACGGTCGAAACATGAGCCTCTAAGACTATCCGCCGACAAAAAACTGAGAATACTGTTTGGTTATGCCTTCAAGTCGGTTGGGTGAAATCTGAGGCCTACCAATAGTTTTTACATTATATTATGTTCTACTCCCGGCAGAAACGTATACGGTTGCTCAAGCTGTGGATGCTTTTGGATTTGGCAGATTTCAAGTGAAGTTGTCACTGTTCACTGGACTTTGTTGGATGGCTGATAGCATGGAAACGACCATATTGAGCATTTTGTCACCCACTTTGCAATATGAATGGCAGATAACACATTTTCAGCAAGCTCTAGCAACAACTGTAAGTTTACCCCCAGTGTTCAATTAATTGCTTACGTTATTGATTTTTATATATCAAGTTACATACAGTAGAACCTTGGTTAATCGTTGTTCTTGGTTAACCATCAGGGGCCACACTATGAGGATTACTCGTGCGAGCCGGTATATCCTGGACATTCCGGCACTATCTGCTAGATAGGTGATGTAACCATTTTGTGAGTGAGATAATTGTACCAATAAGTATTACTAGTATTAGTAATATTATATAAACATGTTGTATTTAATTAAATTTATATTATGTCACAGTTCTTAAAGAAAATATTAATAATGTGTACCTATATTATGTTTAAAATGTTCAATTCCTCGCTTATCAGTATTTTTTATTAAAACTTTAGTCCCTGAGACTGGAGGTTGATCGCGGTTCTACTGTATTATAATTTATAATGTACATTCTTTAATTCTTGCTTTTATATTTAAATTATTGACCATTTAATTGTTTTAGGTCGTTTTTATGGGCATGATGTTGAGTTTACCATTTTGGGGATCATTCAGTGATAAGTTTGGTCGAAAAACAGTAAGTTTGTTGATTAGTCTACTAAGTTAAAGAGTGATTAAATGACAATATGGTCCACAATAACATAGCCTAGACCATTTCCACTAAAAATGTGTCTGTATTTGTACTTTAACTATTCAATAATGATTAACCATTTAACGTGTGAATATTATTTTGTATAGATTACTCAGAGAGTGAATTGCTCTTATAAAAACGTCATTTGACGATTTAGATGTTTGTGACATCAAATTGACGTCCTAGGTTTTTAGCCAAAGGATAGCAGTTCATATTTCATTATCACGTACATATTGATAATATCAACATACATTTTGTTAATTGTCGTATTTACTATACTGGGCATAATAAGAAAAATGTCAATTGATGACATTACTCTCCAAAGTTTATAGGGTTAATGATTATTTAATATTTATTTTTATAAGTTCTCCCATGCCCCCATACAAGTATTCATATTCATACTTTTATTATTATGAAATTATAAGATAAAAAATAATGAGTGAACAAGTAACTGTGTGAAAATTTAATTTAATTCTAAATTAAAAATCCTACAAATGTTACATAACCCCAATTGATTTACAACCAAAAACGAAATAACATTTATTATTTATTCCATATTCATTTTAATGAAACTTATAATAATTTTCTATATTTTACAGGCTTTGACTCTATGTTCAGTGTTATTGTTCTACTTTGGTATTCTTAGCTCAATGTCACCGAACTATACGTGGTTATTGGTTTTACGAGGATTAGTTGGATTTGCTATTGGTTGTTCTCCACAGTCGTATGTTAAAATAATTATATTCTAAAACAATTACTGTTTCAATTAGTATTATTATCTTGACATGTTTTGTTTGTGATGTATTGTGTATTTACTAGTGTTACGTTATATGCAGAATTTTTACCTTGTAAACAGCGGGCAAAATGTGTAGTGTTACTCGATGTAAGTTTGGGCATTAGCAATATTGAAATAGATAATGATATGTTTGTAGTCATAACGTATTATTACATATAAATAAAAAATAAAGGCGATATGAGAACCATTTTTTAATTTTTTTTTCATGTTTATTACACATTATTTATTCTATTAATGTAATATAAATTATGTATTCTCAACAATTATAGTAAAACTATTTCTCAGATCGCCTCATAAAAATTATAATTACCTAATTAATATTTTTGTTTCAATTTTTATTTAGTGTTTTTGGGCACTCGGAGCATGCTTCGAAGTTCTTTTAGCCCTAATAGTGATGCCCACGTTAGGCTGGAAATGGCTTTTAGTACTGTCCACAGCACCATTGCTTGGTTTCGCATGTGTGTGTCCGGTAATGAAACACCTCATAAACGCTTGTTGCATGTTCTATATTACAGGTTACATTACCAAGATCTAACATACAATATAAAATGGTTAGATCTTTGTGATACAGACAATTGATTCAAATTTAAGTTTAAGAAATATGAATAACAAATACAATATTTAATATTATGCGATTTTATTACTACATAATATACCTACCAGAATAAAATTTTTAAATGTTATAATCAGGGCTCGGGACTTAAAGCATTTGCTTATTTTTATAGATTGACTTAAAATGTAGCAGAGTGCTATAGAAGTGTATGTCATGTTACAACACATTCAATTATGAAATTTGAGAGTGCTTTTTTTTTGCTTTTTTCAATGATTTTTCAAAAAAATGCTTATTTCAAGTTTTTCTGATAATTATTGCTTTTTTAACCAGTTATAATACTTTTTTATGATTTTCTACTGCAAAGTTGTTTTTGATAGAATTAAAATTAAAAATAATTTAAATAAAAAAATTAATTTTTTTTTCAACTATTTCTAAATATTGTTTACATTTTATTTTTCAGAAAATCCATAAAATCCTCAGTCCTGAAAATGAAGTTTAATTTTTTTTATAATATAAAGATAAAGTTTTATTTTTTATTTTATTGTTTTTTTTTAATAAATATTTTTGCTTAAATTTAAGTTTTTTAAATGCTTATTTGAGTGCTTATAATGATGTTTTTAAGTGCTTATTTAAGCGCTAATTTTAATGATTTTAAGTGCTTTAAGTCCCGAGCCCTGGTTATAATAGTGTAATAGTTTTAGATTTTTAATAATATTATTATTATTATTGTAGATGTGCTAAACTGCACACAAACAACAAAAAAGCACTGTTCTAATAGAATATTTTAACTACAGTGTAATATATATAAAAAAAAATACCATATTTTATTGATGGTAATTTTTATTATTTGTATTAACTAAGTTGAAACCCACCCTCAACACTTAGTTGTAATGACAGATATTCCACATTGCTTTATCTGGGTTAGAACTTATTAGATATTATTATATTTTTTTTACGTAATTGTAATTGTAATAGTAATAACTGTAATTGTAACAGTCAATAATTATCAAACATATAATTTATTGTTATTACAATTTTTAGTGGTTACCTGAATCAGCCAAGTATTTAGTGACCAATGGTCAAACAGATAAGGCAATTGAAACTTTAAAAAAAGTTGCATACGATAATGGAAAACCAATGCTCTTAGGTAGATTGGTCGTTGACGATGTAGTTCTAGAAGAAAAACGTGGTCGTTTTACTGATCTTCTGCTCCCTCAACTCAGAGTCTCATCTATACTACTCTGGTTTATTTGGTGATTCATTAAAACCACAGCAACGAAAATTTACTCATGTTGTAATACATAAATATATTAACTATAGGCTGGTGTGTGCATTTTGCTACTATGGAATTGTGTTGATGTCTACCGGTCTGTTTGAGAGCAGTTACAATAATAGGACATGTTCGGCAAATTTGGGCAGCGGAATTTTCAAGACTGTGCAGTCTTGTACTGCCGAATCTCATTATTTGACAACTCGGGACTATATCGATCTTCTGTGGACAACACTTGCAGAATTTCCTGGTAATAACAGTAATCTTAAGAGTATGTAGACTTTCATTTAACACAAAATATTCATATTTTGACAGGGATATTTGCCACCATTTTTGTGATTGATAGATTTGGTCGAAAGATAACATTGGTTTTTCAATTTACATTATTTGCTATTACTTTATTTTTACTATTTCAGTATGCTAAAAAGTAAGAACCTAATTTGAAATTTTATTTTATTAAGCAATCATTTGTTTAACATCAATTCGGATTTGTTTTTAGTCGAGTATTGTTGACAATCATATTGTTTTTGGCGAGGGGTATTATTGCAGGAGTGTTCCAGGCCGTGTATGTTTATACTCCAGAGGTGATTTTCATCAATTATGATATATTATTAGGTTTTTTTCATGGTTTAAATATACAAGGTTATTGCACATAGTCCATATTGTTATCAAACAAAAATAAAATGACAGCGTAAGGTAGGTCTATCATAGTATAGCCAGTATACGTCGTCCCCTTACGCTTCCATTTAAATTCCTTAACGTGATAAAATGATATAGTGGGGGTACTATTGCAATAACTTTGTATATTTTAAGCCATGGTTTTTTTTATTATTTTCTTACAAAACCGTTGTTATAGGTTTATCCAACGCCATTGAGATCCATAGGAGTCGGAACTTGCAGTGCTATGGCCCGCCTAGGTGCTATGGTTACGCCATATGTTGCACAGGTACATCTGACAGCCAAAATACAATTCATTCACTCAGATGTTCAAGTATACCATCAAATAAAAAATAATGAACTATTTTTTTTGTATTTTAGGTATTGCTCAAGTCATCATTTAATACTTCAATAATCATTTACATTACAGCAGCTCTTCTGGCCGCTATAGCAAGTTCATTATTGCCAATAGAAACTAAAGGAAGGGACATGAAAGAAGAATATGTGGAAAAAGATTAGTTTCAATTTAAAAATTCTAATTTTATGAAATTTACTATTTTTTGTATCAGAAGTGTAGCTTACCATTCACCTAGGGATTTTATTATTATTATTTATTATAAATAGTGGTCGTTTTAGTAGCAATTGCACGATAAGTATGTTTATATGATGGTGTAAAAAGGTTTTATATCTAGATACCTCTAATTTCACTGGTAAACTCTGTAAGAAGCAAGTATCCATGGATTCAAACAGTTGAACCCCATCATACAAACATACTAAGTGTAGCAATTATACTCTATTCCAAATAAGCTTGGAATGGTAGGACCGCTGTGATTGACCTCAAGCTTGTGTCAACTGCTAAGGGGTTACTAAATAATAACAAAATTGATGTTATTAGTCTTTTCACAAAAAAAATCCTTATAGTTAAATATGTTAGCTATGGATTCTCAGTCAAATTCTGATTGAGCCATAATTTTTAACTTGAATTAAATAAATTCAGAAGCATGGTAAGCTACACTTGATCCATATTTTATTTTATTAAGTTGTAAATACTGTTATGATATTTTGGATTGTTTGGAAAATGGGTCAAATGAATATTGACTTAATAAGAAATGAAAACTTATTTTATTTCTTCTTACTTGTATAATAATAGAACTTAGTATCATATTGGCTCATATATATTTATTGTTAATTGTAATTATATTTTTTTACTGCCCAAATAATTTTGTGGCTTTCTGTGTATTTAATAATGACAAAAAAAAATAAACACATTTTATATTTTCAAAATGTCTCGTGTCTTTATTTTACTTAATTAAGACAGATATTAAAAGAAGGGGGAAATCAACAACAAAGTAGAAACAAAACATCGAGATATCTAAAAAATCGTGCTCATTAGTTAGACTCAAAAGATCAAAAATGTCCACAAAAAACATAATGTCTATCAAAAACAAGTCCATTATTGCCTATAAACAAAACAAACTTACAATTGTCCAAAAGAAAGTCTACATTATAAGGGCTTCAAAAAGGACTTGCATAACTACATGGGCAGTGGCCTTCAGTATATGTATCTAAAACAAAAATAAGTATAAATTTAAGACAACATTTTACTTACATTACACTAGTCACAATAATCAGGCCCGGCTCGAGACCTGGCCACATTAGCGCAAGCCTAGAGTGACACTTTAGTAAGAGGGCGGCATTTTCAAAACAGTAATAATATTATTGTTTTAGGTGCAGTGATTTTAGAGTGCAATATTTTTGATTGAGCCGACCCTGGCAATAATAATATTAATGAATACTCACGAGTTTATTTCTGTAGACTAGAATTATTTGTGGATTGCCCATAAACCGGCCCCCAAATATACGATGTCCATAAATTGTATCCAGGGTCATTGCTTGAAAAAGGTATGATGTCAGTAGGACTGTCAAAGTTAGATGTACTTGTAGCTGCTGTAGTATCGATAATTGAAAGATTTGATTCTAAAAAAATGAACATTCATTTATATTATCCAATATCATAGAATGCTGTTAAGCATAGGCGCAAATAGCGGAGGGGCTTAGCGGGTATTAGCAAGCACACTCTTATAATTTTTGTGTTTTTCTGTATCAAAACTTCTCCTTACAACAAAAAAAAAAAACCAAAAACGGTACCCTAATGTCCACTGGGGTATCAGAGAATAATGAATGAAACAATGAACTCGACAATTTTATCGAATTCAAATCTATTTAGAACATTAATGGTTATTTCCCAATGTTTCTACTTAACTCGGTTATATTATTATCAGTTATCACGTTCAGCAGCGACTCAGCGCTACGACAATAGTATTGCGAGCATTTACTAATATAAACATTCCCGTGCCCACATCTAGTTCGGACAAAAACCTAATTACGATATACGAATCACTTGTCAGTTGGCGTTCACTTATAAGTTCCAAGTTTCCGTCAGTCTGTGTGATTGTGTATGCCGTATGGTACTATATAGTATAATATCCTATACAGGGTGTAACAGATAAAACTGACATTTGGAATAACTTTTGTTCTAATCAATATTTATAATGTTTTTTATATACAATTTATGGTCACTTGAGCTACACATATATTATGTTTATTGTTAATTTTTTAACATTGAAAATAAAAAATTTAAAATTTGAATTAAATTTGTTTGAATATATTCAAAATAGCCAATTTGTGAATCTGATAATAAGAACAATTTTGAAAGTAAAAACATTTCTCTGAGTCAAGTAGTTTTTTTTTTAGAATTTTTGAAATATCAATATTTTTTTGATTAAATGAACTTGGAAAGTATACGCAAGTTATTATAATAACTTTTTTCAAAAAATTTTTTTTGGGAATTTTCTGCCATGAGTATAATATTAATTCTTAAATTATTTACTAATCATATAATTTTAACAATTTTTGTCATACGTTTAAGTACCGTCATTTTTTTTTTTTGTCAAGTCTTTCTGTTACATCTTGTATTGGTACCTACTACCTACTAATATTTATTTGTCATAGTTTTTGAATAAAATATAAAAGTGGTTTTCAATTTTTAATAAATTAAAATTGATCATTGTATTAATTTTTATAAAATGTACCTAATACACTATAAGTATTCAATGTTAAATTGCCATAAAACATTTTTGCTCAAAAGTCATAAATGCCTCATAGTTATAATTTAATTTAAATGCCCAGAAAATGCAGAGCTTAAGCGCCCTCGGTTTTTTATTTAAATTGCACCTATGCTTTTAAATAATTTAAAAAAAAAAACAAACCTGACTCTTTTTTTAGAGTTTCGAGTAAAACTAAATCCGAATCAGGCTTTGGTACTTTTTCCTCATTTTTACGATCTCTTCCTGAACCCACAGGTCCTAAAACAAAAACTAATAATACCATAAAAATTAATTTCATTAAAAATATTAATTCATATTAAAGTTAAAAACAATTTAATTTCTATATTTCCAGATATAAATTTAAAATTATATGCATCAATTATTACATCTATATTATGTAAATATTGAATACCAATTAAATAATTTTGCAAAATTCTATAATATTTAACGAAAATATGTAATTATCAAATAAAATATTACCATGCTTATTAGTTATTGTTGGTGAAAGATCAACATGTTTTTCATCAGAGCCTCTTTTCAATACAGTAATTTTTTTCTTGACGTCTAACTGTTGATCTGTCTGGGGCTTATTATAAAGTGGTACAAATTCTTTTTTTTCTTTTTCTGTCATGACGGGAACAACATTGTCATCGTTAGCATTATGTTTCATCACTTCCGGAGAATTACATCTTTCCAATGTGTGAACCTTTGGTTTAATCATTTCTGAAGATATACAATTTTCTATGGTCTGAACTTTTGGTTTTATTGCTTCTGGTGAATTGAACCTTTCTACAGTTTGTACCTTTAATTGTGTGGTTTCTGGCGAAGTGCACCTGTCCGCAGATTGGATTTTAGGTTTTATCACTTCTGATGAACTAAAGCTTTCAACACTTTGACCCTTTGATTTGATGACATCTAATGAATTGCAAGTTTCTACATTTTGAACTTTTGGTTTTATAACTTCTGGCAAACTGAACTTTTCCGAAGATTGTACCTTTGGTTTCATAACTTCTGACAAACTGAATCTTTCCATAGTTTGAATATTTGGTTTTACTACTTCTGTCCCATTAAATCTTTCTACAGTTTGAACTTTTGGTTTGGTAACTTCTGATGAAATAAATCTTTCCACCGTTTGAACTTTTGGTTTCGCCATATCTGGCATATTTAATCTTTCCGCACTTTGAACCTTTGGTTTAACAACTACAGGTGGCGCTATTAATGTTGAAACTGGCGATGCTACTGGTGGTGTAGGAGGAGGTAATGAAGCCTTTCTCTCCATCTTATTTTTCTTCTTCATACACTTATATTCTGCCAATAGTCCGTCATCATCAATTATTGATTTCTTAGATATTGCTGAACGCATTGTTGCTGGTTCTTTTTCAATTTTATTCTGTGCGGCTTGTATTGGTTTTGATTTTGAAACATTTAACTTTTCGATCATCCGTTCTGGCTGTAAGATTGTCACAATAGGCTGTTTAGGAAGAACAATTTGGTATGGTGCAACAGAAGCAATAGGCTTCTTAACGACTTCAAGTGATGAGGAATTCAACGCTGCTATTGGAGATTCTGGACTATTAATCGGCTTTATTACTGGAAGACTTATAGTGGAAAGTTTTTTATTGCTTTTCACAGTTTTTACGATTTTAAAATCTTGTTTGGTTTCTACTGGGACTTTTGGTTCTGGGCTTGGACTAATTTTCTCTGTCACTGGAAGTTCCTCGTAATATTTAGCTGCGTTAAGGGCTTTCTTGTGCTTTCTCCAACTGTCAACTGGTTTTAATCCATACTGTTTTTTTAATAATTTTTCTGCACGTCTACGATTTTCCATTTCAAACTTTCCCTCTTCAGCTTTAGAATTCTTGTTCAATTGAGAATCTATTATAAGCCCAGGAGATCTATTATAAAATCAATAAAAAGCAAGCATCAAAGGATGATTTAAAACTGGTTTATTAGTAAACAGTTATTTTAATTTTTATAGTTTTGCATTTTTTTCTTATATTATTTAGTCATGACTTTTTCGTTATAAAAAGAAAATAGATTTATAAAAATTATATGATTTTATCATATTATTATTAAGTTACAAAATTCCATTTTAGATTCTGAGCAGAGCAAGTCAATCTCTCAAAATTTAAAGTGAACCCTTTTTTTTATTAGATATCCAGTTTTATAATTAGGACCCGAAACTTGATGCATTTGCATCTATTTTTCTAATTCTTACATTCGAGGCTCGTCTTTACAGAGGTTTGATTTGTTGAATATAGAACCTAATGGTACAATTTTTATTATTCATTTTTAGAAATTTTAGGGAATTATAGGCTTTAAGGTCATTTTTTAATATTTTAGATGCATTTTATTCATTTTTGTATTTTTTGCATTTTTGTATTTTAAAAAATGTATGTTGCTTTTTTTTGT